TTGGCAATTGAGTCAATTTTCTGTTATTTTTTGTTCCCTGTTCTGTTTGTATGGGTAAAATTTAAAAGTATTAAAATTATGAAAATTACAAATCTTTTGTTGGTTTTCCTTGCATTTGTTGTTATCACATATTTCTTCTTTGTTATGTAACATGAGTGAAAGACTATATATCAGGTACAATACCAATGCAACACCAAAAAACGTACTCTGACTGACTCAAGGTGTGGTTGTTACTGTCATCTACAGGTTGATAATTGCCATAGCACCAAAAAAGATTTGGAAAATGTGCTTTGGTTGATATTTGGTGAATTTTTTCATGTATTGTGTCCCTCTTCACAGTAATGTGACCTGAGGGCCAACTGTGACCTGCAGTAAATAAAAACATTTGAGAACTACTACGCCCCAGAGATTTGGAAAAAGTTTTGGTGATTTTTTTTTGTTCAAGTAATTACTGTCTACCCCGGCTCCACTAATGTCAAAGTGACTCCCTCCAACAATATGCTGCCTATTTGTTGACAGTCCCCAACATCGACGGTAGCCACAGTGTTAGCAGAGTCCCTCTACACAGCGTTGTCGTGACCATTAAAACACAGTTCACGTTCTATTCTCTTTTTGCGTCCAGCGAATGGGACAGAGTCTGTTGGGTGGTCCACCTCCTGGATCGGGCTCTGTTTCCTGCGCCTTTTTCACATTTACTTCTACCTGCCAACAGAGAGCTCCAAGAACACAATTAACAGGAACAATGGTCTCAGGATCAGACTGCTCAGAAGGGTCAAACTGGCGAGAGAGTGCATCGGGTTTTATATTCTTGGAACCAGGGCGGTACGTAATGGAAAACTTGAACCTCCCAAAAAACAAAGCCCACCTGGCTTGGCGTGAGTTCAGCCTCTTAGCAGACTGGATGTAGGCCAAATTCTTGTGATCAGTCCATACAATAAAAGGCTGCTCTGCTCCTTCCAGCCAATGTCTCCACTCTTCAAGTGCGAGTTTGATCGCCAAGAGTTTCCTGTTGCCGACATCATAGTTGCGTTCAGCAGGAGCTAGCCGCCTGGAAAAGAAAGCACAAGGGTGGAGTCGAAAATCTGAGTCAGAGCACTGGGAGAGAACAGCTCCGACTCCCACATCTGAGGCATCAACCTCAACAATAAACTGCTTTGATGGGTCAGGTTGAATCAGGACCGGCGCTGTAGTGAATAGCCTCTTAAGCTTACTGAAAGCATAGTCTGCCTCCGGAGTCCATTGGAATGGGTGTTTCGTGGAAGTTAGACAGGTGAGAGGAAGTGCAACCTTGCTGTAATCTCGAATGAATCTCCTGTAAAAGTTGGCAAAGCCAAGAAACCGTTGTAGTTGTTTGCGATTACAGGGAGGGGACCACTCTGAGACTGCTTTGATCTTCATAGGGTTAGCCTTAACTTGTCCATTTTCAATTACAAAACCCAGAAAAGAGACAGAACTGGCATGGAACTCACATTTCTCACTCTTCACAAATTGTTTATTTTCTAGAAGCCTTTGTAGGACTTGGCGGACATGTTGGCGATGTTCCAATGGGTCTCTGGAAAATATTAGAATATCGTCCAGGTAGACAAAAACAAAGCGGTTAAGGAAGTCCCGAAGGACATCATTTACCAGAGCTTGAAACACAGCTGGAGCGTTTGTGAGTCCAAATGGCATGACGCAGTATTCAAAATGCCCCAGAGGTGTGTTGAAGGCTGTCTTCCATTCGTCTCCTCTGATGCGGACAGGGTGGTATATGCATTGCGCAAATCCAGCTTAGTGAAAATGGTGGCACCCTGCAAAGGCTCAAAGGCAAAGGAGATAAGGGGCAAAGGATACTTGTTTTTTACAGTAATATTGTTCAAACCTCTGTAGTCAATGCATGGTCGTAAAGTCTGGTCCTTCTTGGCGACAAAGAAGAAACCAGCCCCCACAGGGGATGAAGACGGACAGATGATACCTGCAGCTAGAGAGTCTCTGATGTACCTCTCTTTCAGGTCGGGATAGGTTGTACAGGCGAGCAGGTGGAAGATGAGCTCCGGGAAGAAGGTCTATGGCACAGTCATAGGGCCAGTGTGGTGGTAAGGATAGTGCTTTCTCCTTACTGAAGACCTCCCCTAAGTCATGGTATTCTGGTGGAACTGAGGTTAAATCTGGAGTAGACATAGGTAGTTTGAATTTAGTCTCTTCTGACGGAGGGAGAGCTGACTGCAAACAAGACTGGTGACAAAATGAGCTCCAGCTGACAATCTTATTGAGAGACCAGTCTATTACAGGATTATGAATCTTTAGCCAAGAGTAGCCCAAAACTAACAGAGTCAGAGGAGCAGAGAAAACAAAGAAACGTATCTCGTCGTGATGGTTGCCAAACAGAATTAAGTGGAGAGGAACAGTGTGGTGAGTAATTTTAGCAAGAACAGTACCATTCAAAGCACTGACCTGGATAGGGTAGCGGGTAACAGGAATCTGGGTTGGTCAGTGGGGATTTTAGAAACCTCGCCCATCAGTACCCCCCATTACTGATGAGCGGGCCCTTTTGGACGGACAGGACAGTGAATGAGAAAATGGCCACCTTGACCGCAGTACAAGCACTCGCCAGCTCGGATTCTCTGTGACCGCTCCTGGACCGACAACTTGGCCCGGCCAATTTGCATAGGAACCTCTGGGGATAGAGGAGCGGGGGGCAGAGCAGGAAAATTACCAGTCTGAATTAGGGCTGGAGGTGAGGAGCGAGGCACGGAGGATGTAGTGCGAGGAATTCTCTCGTTTCCGTTCGCACAGCCTGTTGTCGATACGAATAGAGAGAGAGATTAATTCCTCCAGAGAGACGGGATCATCACGGACTGATAGTTCATCCTTTAAAGTGTCACTTAACCCTCGCCAAAATACTCCCTTTAAGGCAGTTTCATTCCACCCTGATTCCTCAGCCAAGATCCGGAATTGAATGGAGTAGTCTGCCACACTCTTGTTTCCCTGGTGGAGATCTAGAAGCCCCTTGGCAGAATTCACCACACAATCTGGGTGTGCAAAAACTCTTTTAAAGTCCGCAAAAAAATCTGAATAATTGATACTCTCAATGCCCCTGCCACCCAACATAGCCTCGGCCCAGTCAAGGGCTCTTCCACGTAACAACCCCGTAATAAAGGCTACCTTGGAATGGTCAATCGAAAATGTCAAAGGCTGGCAGGTGAAAACAGTCATACACTGCAAGAGAAAGCCCTTACTTTTACCCAGGTCCCCATTGTATGGCTCTGGATGAGGAACTGGAGTTTCACGGGGAGGGTGTACAGCGGAGGCACCGGCAGAGGCACCGGCAGGGGCACCGGCAGGGGCAGGATTACTGGGTTGAGAGATATGCTGGGCAGAGAGTTGATTAGAAAGGTGCTCCACCAACCTGGTCAAATTTGAGACTTGGAGTCCGATATTTAGATTTGATTCTCTCAGATCCTGTAGTGATTTGTGGTGCTGGCCATGTAAATTTCCTTGGGTGGCAACAATCTTTTCCAACTCGTTGGGTTCTGCTGGGTCCATTGTTTTGGCCAGATCGTTCTGTTAAAGAATCACTGGTCGGACCCAAATATGCAGTAACAAAAGTATTTATTAACAAAAATAGTCGTGGACAGGGGGATAGATTCCAGTGGAGGTAGGACGGGTCCAGGTTGGCTGAAGTGCAATGGTGAAGAGGCTGACCAGAGGCTTGCGGAACAGGTGGTAACGGGATGAGGCTGGCTCCAAAACGGTTGAACTGGGGAACGGACAAAAGGTAAGAGTCAAAAACCTTCAAAATGCTCAAAAACACAAAAAGCCTGAGTAGTTCACCACTTGGTTGATGGAACGATCTGGCACTGGAGAGCAGGTCAGCAGGTCTTTTATTGCAGGAGATGATTACTTGACGAGGATCAGGAGTGGAGCTCAGCAGGTGAGTGATTGGGGTCCGCCCAGGAAAAAACAAATAAGGTAAGGAGAGAAGGAGCAGGGAAGGGAAAGGTAGGAGGGGCAGGATGAAACCCTCACACCTAGGTCAAGTATTTAGGCAAAATGCTTATTTGGGTCTTAATGTGGAAAAGTTAAACCCTGAATTTCAAGCGAACTTCAAACGTTAAGCCAACTTCATTATGCTCTAGGCCACAGGTGTCAAACATGCGGCCCGGGGGCCAGATCCGGCCCTCCAAGACCTTTAATCTGACCCTCGGCTGATTTTCTACTAAAATATTTAAATTCTATTTTCTATTAAAATATTGGTAATTTTCTGTGATGCTTAGCATATCTCCAGCGTCTCTGTACTTGGCCCCTCCCACCAGAGAAGCACAAATGAAGACTTGCCTCTTTCCAAACGCTCTTAAAGGACGATCGTTTTGACTGTTGACCGTGACACCCTCATCAGCAAAATGTCCAACATGAGAAAAGTGGAGCCGAGTGCAGAATTTTACAACAAAAATGGACTTATTCCTACTTGCAAACAAGTTCATTTTAAAACATTGTGCTGAAATTACATTTTTCTTAAAGTTTCAGGTTGTTCATAATGTTATAATATTTTGTAAAAGAAAGAGTTAAAAAAGATTTCAGTAATAGATTTGTGTTTCTCTGCACAAATATTTGAACTTATTTTTATTTTTGGGGTTTATATGACATGAGTTTTCTGATCCGGCTCCTTTGGGATCAAAGTAGGTTGGATACGGCCCCTGGACCAAAATTAGTTTGACATTCCAGCTCTAGGCGCTGAAGAGTATTTTCCGGCCATAAACGGTTTAAACCTCTTATTACTCCGGCAAAGAAGCTGATAGAACCACGTTTCAAAATTTATAATATACAGGTCCATAAGTTCTACTTGCACAGCAAAAATGGCATTGATATCTCTTGTAGTTTTTCCACAATGTCACTTTTGAAGGCTAGGCACAATATGTTGAAATGCGTCATAAACTGCGGGTTTTTACCATTTTAACAATGGTAGAGGGCAGCATTGCTCACTGTAGCGTGTAGCCTGCCGGAAACTACTAGAAGAAGAAGACGTCGCGCTAGGGGCGGATCTGAAACGTCGCCATGATTGGGTCTGGTTAGCTCCTGCTCCAGGCTGTGCATCGTTTGCCCTCGAAGTGTGCGTTTATTCACCATAAACCTCACTCTGCGTTTATTCTGCCCACATTTTATCAAGTGTTGAACACGCAAGCTGAACCTCCAGCCCCGGATCGTCCGCTGTCTGTGCTCGTAGTCCCGAGAGCCGCAAGGGGCGGTGGGCTCTTCCAGCTGGGGCCAGTTAGCTGAATACTAGCCTATTAGCTTACGTTTCCGGGGACATATCTTTGAAATAAGAGCGAAACGAGTTCGTGGAGGACACTGTGGGTGCTGGACTGCTAATTTGTGTGTGAGTTTGTGCGGAGGACTTCGAGCCCGTGTGTGGTTCTGCTTCAGCTCTAAATAGGCGCTGAAACGAGCTGGCATCGCCCAAAGTCTTCACGTCTACACGTACGTAGCCGCTACAGACAATGAATTTCACGTGTTTGATTATTTATGTTCTATATTTTATTTGTAAATACACGCTTTTCCTTTCTGAATAATGGCCGTTTATCGCTCAATCTCAGTCTGAGTTACGAGCGTTATTCCATTGTTAAAATAAGGATACGTTTTTACACACACCCTCCAACATGCTTAATGTTACATTAAGTCTGTGTCTTTTAAAGGTTCAGTACGCGACCTTGCTGCTCGTCAGTGTCATAGCTTTACCTGAAATGTATCAAAATATGGCATTGAAATTAAGTAAATATCACTGACATTTAGTCTTAAATGACCCAGTTTGATGCCTGTATTAACCATTAACCATAATGTGTGTAGTGGTGCACAGCGTTGGGTATCTAAAGTATATATTTAGCTACATCATGATAAGCATGTGACTAATGAAACTGAAAGTATTCAGCGTAATATGGATCGTTCCAAGCTAGCTACAGGTTGGAGCCCCCTGCTATAGAGCAGTCCAAACAAACCAATGACATCTCCATTGAAAGAGAAACAAGGTGGGGCTGATGTCCATAATTTTCACTTTAAAATGGCAGATTAAACTCCTGATTGAAACATGGTTCATTAAATAACTGCAAGCCTTGATGAGCTTCATTTGATTGGAGCCAAAAACTGTTATGCGAAGTCACACTCCCTTAGTCCACTTCAGTCTATGGGATATGAAATAAAACATGCATTGCTGTTTGAAAAGAAAAAGCTGAATTGGTGATAAATTTGCACATGTGTCTGTGAATGTGATTACAATTATATTTGTAATTTTCAACAAGTAGGGTAAAATGTACAAAGTGCACACTGTAAACACCTCCAGGAACTTTCACATTTGAGAGAAGAGTAAAATCTGAAATGCATGTGATTCATTTCAGAACATGTTTATAGAAGTCTGCAGAGTTTTCTTTTTAAAAAAATGCATCATCTACATAATTGCAGCTTTTGTGATTTGATCATGGCGCCACTTCCAACATTCAAATCTCTGTTGTGTTGTTGCAGGCTGTGGTTGGGTGAGAGGAAAGCACCATGTCTGAAGGCGAGTCTAAAGTCACTCAGGACCCAGTGCAGGAGGTGAAGGACCCCACCCCAGCAGCAGCAGCAGGTGGAGCAGCAGGGGGAGCAGGGGCCTCCGTCTCTCCCCCTGTGTCTGTGGTGGCTCAGGCCCCTCCCTCCACCTCCTCCACCACAGCCTCCGCTGCTGCTGCCACAGAGGATGAGGAGGAGGAGAGCGAGGACGAGTCGGAGATCCTGGAGGAGAGCCCGTGTGGACGCTGGCAGAAGCGCAGAGAGGAGGTGTGTATAAGTCTGCTTTAAACCACATGTGAGCAGGGAAATGGTGGGAAACAATATCAGCTAAAAAATCTATATTAGACTATGCCTATTAAACATTAACAACCCTTACCAGAAACATGACTGCAAAGTGAACAAAAACAATGTTATGACCTCATAAATGTCTTTAAATGACATTTGAGTTTATTTTGCCAGAGTATTGCCTTGTTTCTTTATCTCTTCCTACCCCTTGGTTTTAAGTGTGCATCTGAATTTGCGTTGTTTTAAGGGGTGTACAGCCCTAAAATCAGTGTGGTGTTTTGTTTAAAAGTGAACTTTTCTGGTGGAGGGTCTGTTACCTACTTGCCTCCACAGAGATGTTATTGCTTTTCCTGGAATGTTCCATGGTATGACATTCAACATATCCATCTAGAATTTATTCAGTACGTTTCTGTTGCCCTAAAATACATGAATTCCTTCTGTGAATAGGGGCGAGACTCCACTGAGCATAGTGCTATAACCTACTTGTCTTGCTTGTGATAAGTTTAATGTATACTGTGGAACATTCTAGTCAAAATAATATTTCCATGGAGACAAGCAGGTGGTGGACCCTCCGCTAAAAATGTTACGCAGTGCACACATACAGCTCTATGTTCAAGAACATACACATCATCAACATACCGCTTAAGTACTGTGTAATAGATACTAAGAAAACATACATTGTGATCAAATCAAAATTGTGATTTGGATCTAAGAGAAATCATTTCACTCACCCCTCGTCTACAGTATTTCAACTTTAGTGCTTCTTTTAGGTGAATCAGCGAAACGTCCCTGGAATAGATAATGCCTACCTGGCCATGGACACAGAGGAGGGGGTGGAGGTGGTGTGGAATGAAGTCATGTTTTCAGAAAGAAAAAACTTCAAGCTACAAGAGGTGAGTGGACCATGTGACTCTCATCTTTAAACACCCTGAACAATCTTTTCAAATATATATTAGTACAGTACAATTAGCTCTTGAGGTCAACATTAGTCCACAGCGTATTGTTTGGTTCAAATTATAAAGTGTTTGATTGTCTGATAATCTGTAAGTGCACATTGGCATGCTAGTTGTCATCATTCCAGTGAGGACAAAACGTGTTAATGTGAATAACTAGGATGCTCAGAATGTATAAGGTAAGTGAGGAATGACTTTGGACCAAACCGTTTTAAAATACACTAGTTTCCTTTTTCACGCCTTTAACACCATAAAAATGTACAATGCCTTTAACACAAGTGTTAGTAAGTTCTGATATGTTTTGAGTTTGAAAACACAACTTATTTGCATTGACTTCCTTACCTTCTATTAATCGTAGTATATCTCAAAACAGTTTTTTTAATATAAAAGTACAGCAGAGGAAAAAAAAAGGGGAGGCTGTTGTTCATATTATCTCTTTGTTTGTTTCTTCATGTAAAGCATCTGAGTCTTTTGAAAAGCACTATACAAGCGTTGTATTATGATTATTATAATTATATTATAGCCTACATCTTGCTTTTTGACATTCTCTTTTGGCTTCATTGTGTTTATGTATTGTTTATGCAGGAAAAGGTGAAAGCTGTCTTTGACAACTTGATCCAGTTGGAGCATTTGAACATTGTCAAGTTTCATAAGTACTGGGCGGACGTCAAGGAGAACCGAGCCAGGGTACAACACAAGCCCCACCACACTGCAAGACTACACAGTTACATGCACAGAATCATATTTGCCCCTAAACCTGATAGACCACTGTTGTACCCACTGTTGTCTACAACAGCTCAAAGAACTCAATAGGTATGAACAGGGAGCTACAAGGCATTCAGGTGCGCCTAGTCATTTAGAAACTTTACAGCTGTAATTAATGTAAACGGCTACTGTACATATAAACACACTGTTGGCTGAAATAGATAAGTGACAACACCAGGTATCAGAGTATGTTTTGGCTTCTCCACATGTGTTATTGGGATCCTAAAGATTCAGTTCATGACACCTCAGTGGTAGTTCCTAGGTTTACATATGTTTTGGTAAATCAGTTTAAATTGGACTAGGTCAGTTACCTGGGTTTCCTGGCATGCATGTCAACGTAGTGATTGTCCTCTTCTTTTCAAATATGTCACCTAATGCTGTCCTGTTTTGTCTACTAGGTCATTTTTATCACAGAGTACATGTCGTCTGGAAGCCTCAAGCAGTTCTTAAAAAAGACAAAGAAAAACCACAAAACAATGAATGAAAAGGTAAATGGCTGCAATATAATGAGGTATTGTTTGTGAGCTTCACCCCTGCCAGGACTTGAGTAGCCTCACACTCCCTTAAAATAGTAAGTAATAGTAGGTAGTGGGCCGTAGCTATGAATAGATTTTTAAAGAGGGGGTATTATGCAAAATCAGCTTTTTGGAGATTTCCACCGTGTTATCATGTTCCCTTACCAAAAACATTCTTGAAGAGGTTTTGGATGTCATCCATGCATGTTGACCCATGCTCCTGCACAGCAGTTTTCCATAAATATACAAGAGCAGGATAGAAAACGATATTTAATTTATGTTTAATTCATGAGACCTATGCTAATGGTGTTGTGATAGTGCTCTGAAGGGGGAGAGCATGGAGTGCAAAGGGAGGTGATCTAAATGTGTGTTAGCAATTAATACATTGTAGAAGGGTAATGCGTCCTCCACTAAGTAACTTTTCAGGTGGAGAGTGCGCAATGAGCTTAGAGATGGATATGTTATTGTTTTGCCAGGATTTTTTTTTAAGCTTATTTATCACCATGGAGACAGGCAGTGATGCCACAATCAGGACATTTTACTGATCAGATCTGTGGTGAGGCAACTCCGCTCACGTTAAGAATGCATGTTTTTTAGGCCTTAAAAACACTGGTTATTGAATAAATGCAAGATGAATACATTAAATGCAAAGCAACAACATCTGCATGGAGGCAAGTAGCGACTGGTCCTCAATCAAAAGGATGCATAGCGCATCTTTAATTCAAATCGACATCCAGACACTTCTGATGGCCAGTGATCAGCTTCGCTCTTTTTAATGGGGAGGTCTATAGCCAATTTACTGTCGATTTACATAGCCTTTAGAAGAATAAAACAGGCTGAAAATGTTGAAATCAATACAGATTTTTTTTTTTTTTTTCAAAAATAGTATCAGGCAAACGTTTGCCTGATGAAGGCCTAGTGCTGAAACGTTGCAAGGTTTGTCCTAATAAATCTCACAATTTGCAAATAAGATGGTGTGCAGGATTTTTCTGTTTTTGGGCTGCTCCTTCTCCTCCAACACCCCTGCCTCAAGTAATTAATGTGCAACGTTCTCACTCTTTTATACTGTTTTTTGAAAAATATAATTCTATCAGAAATGGATATATTATCAATATGAGGAAAAATCTTTTTCTTTTTTGCCATATCCCCCTGGTTTACTAGGTAGTAATATAAGCTCTATTGAGGTCGAAATGGGCTGTGTCATTGCTGAAAAGAATAAAGTTTGTAAACTGTTAAAATAAAAGTATGGAGGGTAGTGTACACTTCTGTTGTTAAAATGATGGGGTAAACCTTGTGTATGAACTTTATCTAACTATTTAGTTTTCCACTAGGCCTGGAAACGCTGGTGCATCCAGATCCTGTCTGCGCTCAGGTCAGACTCATCTCACTATTACTGTTTTAGAGACGCAGTTCTCAATGCTACATATGGACATTTTTCTGCTATGTTTGACATCTGAATCCATTCTATCTGACTGTCCAGTTACCTTCACTCATGTGAGCCTCCCATCATACACGGCAACCTGACATGTGACACTATTTTCATCCAGCACAACGGACTCATCAAGATCGGCTCTGGTAGGATCCACACACATGTATAACATCTGCTGTCAAGAAACATGAAATGCTAATACTCCATATTTACACTTGTCCCAGTTGCCCCAGACACCATAAATAACCATGTGAAGACGTGCAGAGAGGAGCAGAAGAGCCTTCATTTCTTTGCTCCAGAGTATGGAGGTAAGTGCATGCTTTACACCAAAGAAGATGAACCACTGTACACAGATACAGTACAGTATCTGCAAAGTGTTAATAGAACATTTCAAATGTTAACATTTCTTTCTCTTTACTAAAGAAAAACTTTGATACTGATTTTGATGCCAAACTGCTATGGTACTTGTGCTGATATACTGTAGACCAAGCCCGTTCTAAAGCTATTCTGGAAAAGTTTGTCAAAGTTTTCTGAGTGTTTCAAGAGTAAGAGTTCAAGAGAGTTCTTACAAAGGATATATAAAAGAATCATGGATCTATCAAGGGACTTGACCTCATTTGGATTCATTCTGTCATATTTGAATTTAGATGAAACATGACCTGTGTGTCCTTAAATTAAACAAAGGGATGTCAACACATGCGATTAATCAAAACAAACATCATCCACAAATTTATAGACTTAAATTATAGGCAGTTGAGCTTTAAAATAATTATGTTTCATGGAATAATTAGATAACATCATAAAAATGTGATTAATCAGATTATTTTTTATCCTTCCAGAGCACCAATTAAACATGACTAAACTGTAACTGTAACTTTTCTCTGTCTATCTTCACGTTTCCCTAGCCTTTATAACTACAAAGAGCTCACACCCTCCCCTATAATTGTGGTAAATGTGCTGGGTCTGGTGCTAGGACTTGTGCAACTTGGTTTAAAGGGTTAATTATCTATGCTCGTTCCCATGAGTGTCTAGTTAAAGATAGACCAATGTATGGGGCAGATAGTTGCACTTTTTAGCACATCAGCAATCGGCATGAATTTTCTTGCAGAGACTGATGTTTGATTTTGGCTCTATTTTAGGGTTATTTTAGGAATTTTTAGATACCATTACGCTGTAGGGCTGGTCCAGCAATGTTTCTGTAAAATGCACCATAGCCATTCTACAGGACTCTCCTGTCTTTTCACAGCTGAAAGTGTTACCTCATTATGTCCACAGTGCTGTGGTTTAGTACACATCCTTCTGATCAGACCTGATGGTATGCATGTTGGACGTCATAGCTCTTTGAATGCTGCTTCTGAGTAAAGGCCTGTTCAGACTGGGGAGTAAAGGCATTCAGTTTATATGTAAAGTGTATGTGGCATCCTGCATTTTTGGTGCGTGTCTTGAGGCGGCAGCGCGGCACGAGTCTGGTGTTGACATGGCGTGTCTTGAGCATTCAGGCATCAACAGTAGTCTGTGTCAGAAGTTGAAAATGCTGAACTTTTGGCATTGGACGCGCTGCATCAACCAATCAGGGACGACTATCCAGTGACATAGCGATGTTATTATCCGGAATAATGAGAAATATAGCCTCAAGCTCTAAACCAGGACTAGGAGTGGACCGCTGTCATAATGTTCCTCCCTCTACTAATGCTGAGACATACTGCACTCGTGTACTAGCATACTCCAAACAAAGCATCCACAGGCTCTCTTCCTGATTTCTGGAGACTTCAACCATGCATGTCTTGCACCTGTTCTGCCTACATACACCCAATGTGTCACCTGCCCCACAAGAGACAATAAAACATTGGATTTATTTTTTGCCAATGCTAAGGAGGAGTTCATCCTCACTGCCTCCCCTGAGTAGAGCTGACCACAACATAGTCTATCTGCAGCCTGTGTATCAGCCTATTGTGCACAGGCAGCCTGTGGTGGCCCGTGTGGTGAAGAAGTGGACTGCTGAGAGTGAGGAGGCTCTGAGGTGCTTTTTTGACACCACAGTGTGGACAGAGCTCTGTGACCCACATGGAGAGGACATCAATGCAACGACAGAATGCATAACGGACTACATCAACTTTTGTTTGGAAAACATCGTCCCCTTCCAAACGGTGCGGTGTTTTTCAAACAACAAGCCGTGGATTAACCCTGACTTAAAAGCTGTGCTGAAGGAGAAGAAGAGAGCTTTAAGTCAGGGACCAAGGAGGAGCTGAACGCTGCACAGAAGGAACTGAGGAGGAAAATCAGGACGAGCCAAGCCAGCCAAAAGAGAAGGATGGAGCAACAGCTACAGCAGAACAACATCCAGGGGGTGTGGAGAAGTGTCAAGACTGTCTCAGGCTTCAAAGCACCTACTGCCCAGAGGGAGGGGGACCTGCAGTGGGTGAATGACCTCAGTTCTCACTTCCTGAGATTTGATCAATCACCCACTCCTCCCCCCACCCAGCTGCCAGCTCTCACCTCCCCAGCTGGACAATGGGGAAATCCTGCACCTCTTCACACCTCTGCCTCTGCTCTTCAGCCCGTCACTACACATGGACTCACCCATCCCCCCAGCCTGCCACTGTTTTCTACAGCCCAGGTGAGACTGGAGCTCAAGAAAATTAGACCCAGGAAGGAAGCAGGACCAGACAGCATCAGCTCCAGGCTCATTAAGTCCTGTGCAGATGAACTGTGCGGAGTTATGGAGCATGTCTTTAACATGAGCCTTAAGATGAGGGTGGTACCACAACTCTGGAAGACCTCCTGTGCGGTACCATTGCCTAAGACACCGCACGCTAAAGACCTCAGCAGCTTCAGGACGGTGGCTCTAACATCCCATCTGATGAAGACACTGGTGAGCCTGGTCCTTGGCCACCTTCGCTCCACTTTGAGCTCAGTGATGGATCCGCTGCAGTTTGCATACCAGCCTGGCATTGGAGTGGAGGACGCAGTCATCTACCTGCTGCACCACTCACTGTCTCACCTGGAGAACCCCGGCAGCACTGTGAGGATACTCTTCTTTGACTTCTCCAGTGCGTTCAACACCATCCAGCCACTGCTCCTGAGGGACAGACACAGTCCACACTGCTGGTGTGGACTGTGACCTGGCAGACTGGATCCTGAACTACCTCACAAACCGGCCCCAGTGTGTGAGAGTCAAGAACTGCGTGTCTGACCTCCTGACCGGCAGTGTGAGGGCGCCCCAGGGCACTGTCCTCGCGCCCTTTCTTTTCACCCTCTACACTGCAGACCTCAGACACAACACAGACAGCTGCGTCCTGCAGAAGTTCTCTGAGGACTCTGCCATCATTGGATTTATTAAGGATGATGATGATGTGGAGTACAGAGGACTAACACTGGAATTTGTGGACTGGTGTCAGCAGAACCACCTCATCATCAATGCAGGGAAGACCAAGGAGATGGTGGTGGACTTCGAGACGCCAGTAGAGACGCCACTCTACTGCCCCCTCTGTGAACATCCAGGGAAGGGACATTGATAGAGTGGACTCATACAAGTACCTGGGTGTTCATCTGAACAACAAACTGGACTGGACTCACAACACAGATGCACTGTACAGGAAGGGCCAGAGCAGGCTCTACCTCCTGAGGAGACTCTGGTCTTTTGAAGTGAGGGGGCCACTCCTGAAGACCTTCTATGACTCTGTGGTGGCATCAGCCATCCTGTACGGTGTGGTCTGCTGGAGCAGCAGCATCACAGAGAGGGAGAGGAAGAAGCTGGACAAGGTCATCAAGAAGTCCAGCTCTGTCCTGGGCTGTCCTCTGGTCTCAGTACAGGAGGTGGGCGACAGGAGTGTCCTGGCTAAGGTCATCTCTATGCTGGGCCATGAGTCTCACCCCCTGCAGGACGCTCTGTCTGCTCTAGAGAGCAGCTTCAGTGACAAACTGATTCACCCTCGCTGTGTGAAGGAGAGGTTTCGCAGGTCTTTATTTCCTGCTGCTGTCAGACTGTACAACGAACACTGTTAACACTGAACATGTGTCATTCAACTATATGTGCAATACTGAAGACCATGTAGAACATCTGATACAATTCACTTAAGTCACTCTACTGATAATTATCCTGTCTAATGCTGCTGTACATAAACATAGTCATATTACTGTAAATAACATTATAATATACTGAAGTCACTTTACTGAGATTTATTCTGTTCATATGCTGCACTGTTACTTTTATTCTACATAATAGTTTTTTGGTATTTTATATTTTTGCTCCACCGAAACAGTATGTTACATTAGAGTCTATTTTTAAGATAATAGATAATGTCTTAAAAATAATTGGTTTTATTGCATGTTACCATTTTCCTGCTGTTCTTGAATTGTGCTTTGCAACACTGGAATTTCCCCACTGTGGGACTAATAAAGGCATATCTTATCTTATTAGTGGAGTATAAATATATACACGCCGCAGCTGCTGAGCCGATCACTTCCGCTGATGATTTCATGTAATAAATACACTAGTCACTCTCTCAGCCTTGTCTGCCATTGTACTGGGAAATGGCACTTGTTTCCAGGGCAACGGACACCCTTGGATGCGTGTTAAGTATTTTTCTCCCTTTCATCCACGGCATCCAAGACGCACATTGTGGACGTCTAAAATCAAATGCAAAGGTGTCCAGGGTGATTTTTTTTATTTTTTTTTATTTTTTTTATGCCGTGGTCTGAACGAACCTTAAAATTTGCTGCATCATTGCTATAATCTAAGTTTTTAACTTGTGCTTCTTTTCAGCTGTTGCCAATGTGACCACAGCTGTGGACATCTACTCCTTTGGGATGTGTGCCTTAGAGGTGAGCTGCACTTTCACATTAGAATAGATTTACACCCCCCCCTTTATGCCTGCTTACAGGTTTGGAGGATTTTACATGCAGATGCAGATCTTTAGGTAAAGCGGTGGTGTAACTAAATTGAATATATTGTACTGTGACTCCTTAATGTTCATAGGGCACAGCATGAGTTATGGGTTCATATCATTGTTAACTTAAGTGTGTCTTTCAGATGGCCGTGTTGGAGATCCAAAGTAATGGCGACTCGTCCTATGTTTCTCAAGAAGCCATAAACAGTGCCATTCAGAGTCTGGAGGATCCTCTGCAGCGAGTCAGTAACATGTCTACACTGTACAACCATGCACCTACACACCACGCACTAAACCCTCTCCACTTTGTAGGAGCTTTTCTGATCAGTTTCATTGTATATTTTTTATTCCCAATAAACTTGAAAATAAAAACTCACTATTAAAGAGGAGGCAGATGCTTCTCCTTGCCTATTCCCAGTGAGTCCAGTGACTGCAGGACTAACTCGCATGTGTGTTTGTGTGTTTTTGTGTGTCTGTATGTGTTTGTCCAGGAGTTCATCCAGAAGTGTCTAGAGGTGGACCCCAGCAGGAGGCCCACAGCTCGAGAGCTTCTGTTCCATCCAGCTCTGTTTGAAGTGCCCTTATTGAAGCTGCTGGCAGCCCATTGCATCGTCAGCCACCAGCGTAAGCCTCACTACAACCACACAGCAACGCCACAATGTCATGACAGCAAATATTACCCTCACCCAATGACACTTGTGAAGATTCAAATGTCCATAATAAATCTAACATGAGCCAAACCCACTGCATTATATAAAGAGAGGTAAAACAAAATAATGCAGATCAGCCTTATGATTAAAGTTCAGTTGAAGTACATTTTGGATCATATTTTAAAAATATTAGTTATGTAGCAGACCCCCACCAATGAAGCCAGAACCATGCTCACAGCACAGAAACACAGGCTGCCATTAACCCAAACCGTGCCAAAGCACTCTGAGGTGCATCCGTCTGGTACCCGGACAAATCCGTGTCTATAATTTACTTTGATTCACACTGCTATTGCTGCAGTGTGAGAGAAGCTTCATGAAGCACACTTGAATCACATTTGAATACTAGTTAATATGACCTTTTGGAGAGTTTTGCTGTCTGTTTCTAAAGTCACTGCCTCTATCCGTCTTCAGACATTATTGCTGAGAATGCATTGGAGGAGATGACCAAGAACATGGATCCCAACCTGGTGATTGTTGAAGCAAAGGAAGGAGTCCAGATGAAGTCAGTCACTTTTTGTTGCATTTGAATTAGACAAAAATCTTATAATAACCTATTCGGATGTGGCATCTTAAATAACTACTTGCTCTTATCATCTCTAGGCTCTCTCAGTTTCCTGCGCTGGAGCTGGACAAGTTCCTAGAAGATGTCAGGTAAGGACATGCATCCCAGTTGGAAGTTAGTTTAGCCATGTATGCTATCAGTGCATACAGAACCATCTTTAAAACCCAAATGTAAGTGCATTGTTCCACGGGATGTTTTTCAGGAATGGTATCTACCCTCTGACGGCCTTCGGGATGCCCTGTCCACAGCAGCCTCAGCGAGAGGCAGTCAAATCACCCATAGTTCCTCCATCTGTAAAGACCCCTACTCCTGAACCTGCCGAGGTGGAGACCAGGAAGGTGAGACCAAACACAATGGGCCAATCCCATTTCTAATTTTCACTTCTACCCCTTGCCCCTTGAAACTGAGCTGCAAGGGGGTAGGGGTTGTAAGTAAACTCCTATAAACTGGGACAGCCCTTCAACAATCACATAGGTCATCAGTAGTCTCCGCCAGCTTTTATGTAAGCAGACGCGACAAGCTTTTGCCAGAAATCAAACATGCCATCTAATATTTCTTTGGTCTCTGTTGTCGTGGTAGCAGCCATCTTGCCAGTGATTCACAAGGCATTCTGGGAAATTGCTCATACCCTGTCATTTGGAGTGTGCCTCTGAAAAGTCTTCGTTTGGAGGAGTATATTGTAGGGATGGGCATGATTAGTTGATTAATTGAGAATTTTGTCGATTATGTTCATTTTTAATCGACAAACCGAATATAGGCTGCTAGGTGACCAAACGTCCGTTTTCCCCCAGACATGTCCGTTTTTCATGTCCTGTCCTGGTTGTCCGGGTTTTCTTTTATAAATTGATGCAAATGTTTGGGTTTTCGTGATCTTTCATTTGGCCATTAAACTGAGCATCTCTCGTAGCTCTCTGTGCACTCAGAAGGAGCGAGCAGACACAAACAGTCTGTGAGCCTGCAACATCACTTGTACCAGAAATTCCCCGCTTTTCGTCAGGACAAGTGTGAGGCCATGTGCACAGTGTGCAAAGCAGATATATATGTTTCGGTGTCCAGTGAGGGTGTCAGGGACCTCAAAGCTCACCAGGACACCGAAAAACATTAAAAAGCTTTGCCAGGTGAGAGTAGCTCAATGTCGATGACGAGGCCCCACCTCCTACCCCCCGTACAGTGTCCTAGTTTTGACAGATGCAAATATGGCCACCCTAGGTAGTATAAGGAAACAAAGCTACGTCTGACAGCGCAAACACTGGAGTTGCAGCCTCATCAACCATCTCCAACATGATATACGCAAAGAACAGACTCAACATTAGCGTCAACATCCCTCTGTTACAGAAAGAACACCTATATTCCACTGAGTCATGCTCTTTAGTCCAAAAGAAGTTGACCGCATCAGTGCACAAGAGCTGTTTTTTTCTTCGCTTAGTTTATGCAAATTTGCCGTTTTAAGTTTCGTTTCTGGGTTAAATCAGCAGTTTTCAAGGAATCTCCCCTATGAGCCATCTCAGATTTTGCTGAAAAAAATCATAAAAATTTCTAAAATCACCAAATGAAAGAATCTCAGATTTTAGCTCCTTCTCTTCAGTGGTTCCTGAGTTATGGCCTGTTGAAATTTTGGGGCCATGCTCACTTTTTCTGAAGCCTTAAGTTATAAGCTTGTTTGAGAGACCAGAACTTCATATAAAATAGAGCTAGGAAGCTGGAAATTTGTATTATTTTAGATTCTTGCTCTTAGATTCTGAATCTGTTGTCAAATATTGGGTATCTTTATAAATCTCACATTTGGTTGCTGCTCAATTTTTTTTCAATTTTTGAGGTCTAAGATCTATTTACTCCAAGCAGATATTTACAAACTAACTGCTGAACCTGAATATTTGAGAGAATGACCATTTCTGACAACAGTCTCACTTTTCTGAGATTTAATGTGAGTGGTGTAGAGCCCCAAATATGATCACAGACCAAAGGTGACCTTTTTGGGCTCTTCTTTGGACCCTCGGTTCCCCATGTGGGCACAGTTAGATGTTGATAAAATTTTTACCAGAGAAATTTTGGTAAAGTAATAAAAACATTTACCATTAACTTCCTTCATTTCAAACTGAATTTTTGAAAATAAGCTCTTACAGGTCATTTTTGGTGGCGCTTAGTTACTTTTTCACCTGCTAGAGGTTCAATTACCTTTAATAGACTTAAACACTAATTGCTTGTTATAAGGGAAGATAATTGGAGATTATTTGTGGTACATTGCTTGGAAAAGTGTCAATCTTTTGAGAAAATTCAACTATTAACGCTGTACAAAATTATGAAAAAAGATTTATTTTTCATTCTATTTTTATTTGAGGAAGAAAATGTGTTGTCTCACAAAGAAACAGCTTTTCATGGTGTATAAGTAAAGCAACAAAAGTTAAGATGGTATTCATGGAAACTGATTAAAAGGCAAATTACAATTGGAATACTCACTGCCTAAAATCACAAAGTCTCCACTTCTATAACCATGGCTTTCAGTATCGCCGTATGTGTATTTTTTTACACAAAAATATTATAAGGCAGTAACATTAACAAGGAAAAATTTGATACTGACGCAAAAGTTATCTAAATACAATAATCTGGTCTGTTATTTGTTCAACTGCTAGAAATTACATTTTAAAAAATCTGTGTGAAAACAAACCTCAGCGGAAAATACCAACATACTGGAAAAAAGCGCCCATTTTGGTGCCTTTGCGTCCTACATGGAGATCATCTGTATTGGGATCTTGCACACCAAGTGTTTCTAACTACTAATGAACTTCAGATCCTGTTTGGATCCTGTCATAATCTGCAGTGTCAAGGCGATAATTTTGTGCTTAATACAACAGATTCTGTGCTGAAATGGGACCCAACATGGTTCTGTCGATGTTCAGGAGGACACATGAGGGTTCTGTCTTCTCCATTCATGAATCTCACATAGACATCACCATGTTCATCTGAATGCTCTGAAATATTCCCAATGAACCACCTGATGTCATAAATACATGCATGTATTGACCTGCTGGTACAGAGAGAAATCTGACACACTCTCATTTTGTATTTCAGAAACTGACACTTCAGTACATAAATGATCTTGAGATATTCTCCTCATTTCTAATTTACCATTTGACACCGGAATGAAACTGTGGTGTGATCTAGTACCATTCACAGTCTTTGTCTTGCTATAGCGCTCTTCTAGTTTAGAAGTAAGTTCATGGTTTGTAATGTCTTTAGAGCTTGTTAAAAAAAAATTAATAAATAAAAATTCTTTGTTTTGTGAAGCCCACTCAAACATCTGGAGTTCAGTCAGTATTTAATTATTGTCAGTTGTCTGAAGACTGGCCCATGCAGCCAAGTGTTTTACTGTGCCACCAAAACCATCACAAGCATTGTACCACAAATAATCTCCAATTGTCTTCCCTTATAACAAGCAATTAGTGTTAAGTCTATTAAAGTTAATTGAAACTTTATAGCAGGCAGAAAAGTACCGAAGCTCCACCAAAAATGACCCATGAGAGCTCATTTTCAAAAATTCCGTTTGAAATGAAGGAAGTTAATAGTGGATGTTTTTATTACGTTAAACTAAGAATATGCCAATGTTTTCTGGTAAAAATTTGATCAGCATCTAACTGTGCCACATGGGGAACCGAGGGTCCAAAGAAGGGGCCAAAAAGATCACATTTGGTCTGTGACCATATTTGGGACTCTACACCCTCCACATGAAAGCTCAGAAAATTGTGAGATTGTTGTCAGAAATAGTCATTCTCTCAAATATTCAGGTTCAACAGTTAGTTTGTAAATATCTGCTTGGAGTAAATAGATCTTGGACCTCAGAAATTGAATAAAAAATTGAGTGACAACCAAATGTGAGATTTTGGGGGCCCACAGTGCCCCCCTTAAGATACCCAATATTTGACAACAGATTCAGAATTTATGACCAAGAATCTATAATGATAATGAAATGAATAAAAGTGCAAAATGAACGGGTAAGGAAAAGTGGTATGGCCAAGGGGTGTAATGGGATTCAGTCAAAGTATTAGTCCTACATCACATTCAAGAAGCAGGTTTAGTTTGTCCAAACTAAAGAATTTGAATTGAGGTCACCACAGTAACTCACTCTGTGAACCTAACCTAGTACTCCTGAAGGAGACCTCTGATTATTAATTTTCCCATTCAGAAGTATGTGACTTAATACAGTGAATTGTATTTTCTCTTCCATATGTTTTGTTTCAATTTATGATATAACGCAACTCACTGCTTATAACTTTTTAAATGAGTTTGGTCAGGTTTATCTGCTTGATGTCAAGCAAAGAGATTAATGTATTGAGCTCACTGTGTTCTTACTTTGATAAATGAATACAATGTCACATTAAGAACTGTTCATGTAACAACACTTCAAATACTATTATTATTTTGCTCTTGACCTGCTTTGTGAAATATGGCTATATTTTAGGCATTGCTAAAGTGACCCTCATCTTGTATTTGGTTGTCTCTGTCAGGTTCTCCAGATGCAGTGTAACATTGAGCCTGTAGATGAAGGCTCGAAGCATCATGTGAGTGTGATGTGTTTAATGCCAGTCCTTTTCTCCTGTGTCTCTGAACATGTCCTCCTCTCCACAGCTCACACTGTTGTTGAAACTTGAGGATAAACTCAACAGGCATCTAAGCTGTGACTTGTTGCCAAGTGAGTGGAGTGAATGTACCTGTCCTACTAAAATGTACCATAAATGTATCACTGAAATAAAATGAACTGCTCAAAACTATCATATATTATCATATATTACATTTGCTGCTACAATAAAATGTACTGCTAAAGTAAAATGCACCTCCATAATAAAATGTACAGCTAATATAAAATTTACTTCTAAAAAGAACCAATAAAGGTAAATGTACCACTGAAATTAATAAAAGTATACTGTTAAAATAAAATGTACTGCTAAACTATGTTGTTTCCAGATGAGAATGTGCAGGAGTTGGCAGTGGAGCTTTTTCAGTTGGGATTCATCAGTGAGGTACCATCACATTCTTCATTTTGTATGTTTTTCTCTCACTTCATTAAATGTTTTTTTTTTTTTTTTAATTCTCAGGGTGATCAGCCTAAACTGGCATCGGTTCTTGAAGAGGCCTTCTCCAAGTTCTATAGTAGAAACGACAATCTCAATCCAGTCACAGTGTCTTCATAGCGGCAACTGTAAAACAAATTTAAGCATTAACCTCCTCTGTGCTACGCTCAGGGACTGACACTAGTGTTAGCCTCCCTCTGTGCTACGCTCAGGGACTGACACTAGTGTTAGCCTCCCTCTGTGCTACGCTCAGGGACTGACACTAGTGTTAGCCTCCCTCTGTGCTACGCTCAGGGACTGACACTAGTGTTAGCCTCCCTCTGTGCTACGCTCAGGGACAGACTAGCGTTAGCCTCCCTCTGTGCTACGCTCAGGGACTGACACTAGTGTTAGCCTCCCTCTGTGCTACGCTCAGGGACAGACTAGCGTTAGCCTCCCTCTGTGCTACGCTCAGGGACAGACTAGCGTTAGCCTCCCTGTGCTACACAGAGACTGACTCGAGCCTCTCTGTGCTGCATTCAGGGCCAGCCTAGCATTAGCGTCCCTCTGTGCTGGGGAGACGCTGCCACTAAGTGGTTCTCTCTCTTGGTTCAGCCATCTGCTTCTCTTCTGAAGAGAGCTTTAGTGTATATATCAGGACAATGGGCTGCTCTCTGGGCTTATTCTTCTCTCTATAGTGACCGAGTGGATTTGAGCTGGACAGAGCAGTGTTTTTCTTCAGTCAGTATTAAACTTGTAGTATTTTTACTGTGGACTGCTGTGTGGAATGGGCACATGTAAACTGGTGTAGGTTACAGTGGTTTTCTATCGAGTAGAAACTGAAGCATCGTCCACTGCTCTGCTCACAACCATACAGTTACAGAGGAAAGACGAGCTTCTACTCACTTTATATGGGACTGTGGGTGTTTGCATGGCCAGGACAGATCACTAGGAATGTGGTTGTTCGCATTGGTAGGATTGGCCCTCACACATACACGTTAGTGGAACCAAACTTGTATAATGATCCTGTCAGTACTGACTAAGCTATTACTATTTATTGCGAGTCTGTTTCTCTGTCAACACAAATGCCAATGGTTATTTGAATATGTGCATCATATTGTAATTGGAAAAATATGCAACATAAATTGTAAGATTGGATTTACTCAACATTGCAATGCATTCAATGAAGATGTATTTGCTTAACCCAAAGTATTTTCTTCATTATTTCCATGTTACATAAATGGACTGCTCCTTTGCACAAATGATCCGGACTGTGTGGAGGTCACAGCGTAGGATCCATGTGAGGGTGGAAATGTGAAATGATGTTAGACGTTGTATTGTGTTCTAGTTGTGTACACCAGGTTAACAGGATGAGTGTGGGCTGGGCTTCAGTTTGTTTAACACTTTATGCGGGGCACTGTTTCTGCAATGCATTTACTCCTTTTTCCACGTCATAAAAATAAATTAAAAAAAATTCACCCACCATGGTCCCAGTGTGTGGTCTGTAAATATAAAATTATGTCTCTTATGAGATGTATCAGCTGGTGGTTCAGCAGAATGAAAGATTTACCTCATTAAAGAGGGTAGAGACCTTGGTTACACCTGAATTACATTGTGCTTTGTCCACTGTCTGGTTAAGAAGGAATATATCTTAAGCTAAGATCAGAGATTTATGCCGCCTTCGTCTCTCTAGCTGGCTGTTTTCAGGCTGGTCAGAACGGACTCCACAGCATTCCTCTGAGGAATCAGCAGCCTGTGCGTCAGTAAATAAACTTCATTGGTTGAGCAGTCTTAGCGGGATTTGAACAACCAACTTTCTGATCAGAGGGACAAGCACATCAAGTAAGCTACTGATGCCCCAGTAGTAAAAGGACTGAATTAATTTTATATTAACTCTAGCTTGATTCAAAATGATTGAATAAACACACACAAAGTCAGTTGCTTCAATTATTTATACAAAATTCATAAATGGTGGACAGCTGTACTTTGACTCCAAAGCATCAGCGTCTCATTTAGACACATTTTAGCCCTTGTACAAAAGTCCATGTACACACTGTGGCTCACAATCTGTCCATGTACTAAATATGTATTGCAGCTCCAGAGGTGGGGAGTACACACTTATCTTACTTGAGTAAAAGTGGTGGCTACGCTTCCCATTGTGAGTAAGTCTACAAGTGACAACAGTATTTGTGTTTTTTGCAGCACTCCAAAATGATTAGTTTGTCACATACTTGTGCCTATTCTTTGAACCAGATCTTATGCATTACTTATTTTGCCAAATTACATTCACTTCAAATTATAAATCAGGTATTACGTCCTGACAAGTTGCTCTTACTTGAGAAGTACTTTTCCAAAATACTTTTTTACTCTTAGTTCTTATTTTGTACTTCCACTTGAGAAAAAATACCTAGAAGTAACTTTACTCTCTGTTCAGTACAATGTTTGGCTGCTCTCCCACCTCTGTGCAACTCACATGTGCAGAGAAACACGATTCATGCGACACATGGCGCAGTACAAAAATACAGCCAAGTAGGAAACAGTCAAGACTAGAAAAGATGGCATAGAAAAGCATCTAGAAACCGCAGGTCTAAAGAACAGCCACTGAAACGTCACGTCCACAGGGGCCCTTTCAGCCTGGATGGGATTCTGTACAATAGAGACATTCACAGTACATAGCACCAACAACACAGACAACAGGAGGAAGGCATCTACTGTGCTTCTGATCTGCTTCAAGCGCCACTGTAGAACTTTTCTGGAGGAGGGCCAGACAGCTGCAGCGTTATTTAGAGGCAAATCGTCAGAGCTTTTTCTCTTCCTTTGGGTGAATCATGTCAAAACTACCTCATCCATGGTTTACAATGTTAGCCTCTGATTAGGCTTTATAAAGTCCAGGTTTGGATTTGGTGGTACTTGGAAAGTGTAAGATTATCTTAGGTGATACTTTCTGTGAAAGAAGAAGAGAACCACTGGTCTAAAATGTTTCACAGTATTGCATTAAGTGTATCTGTTACCATGGAGACACAGACACCATAAAAACACCTGTAGTTGAAAATAAAAAAGTATAATGCCAGACTGTTGAATACTCCTCCCCATGGCAGCAGTGCACCTTTAAAAAGAATGGCTCAATACCAATTGTCTGTAGCCTAGAATTATTATTGTATGTGATTAGTATTAGTACTGTATGTGTTTTAAATAGGGCTAAATTAGATATGTGATAAAGGCTGAAATTCAATTCTTTAAACTTGTGTCTGCTGATTTCAGGCTACAGATTGAGTTGTGGTGGTCCCTTTGATGATGATACATCATTTTGGGGATAACTTTCTGTTTCTATGGAATCACACAGTTGACTTTCCACTTCCAGAAAGTTGCATACTATCACTTTAAAAGCCCTGTGCCAGATTTTTTCCCATGTATTTGGGCAAAATTCATCTTGCCCCAGTACAGATATATTGTAAAATCAGCTCTTGAGGTCAAAATAAGTCTCCTATGTGCTGTCTCCAGCTAATTAAAAAGTGTTTCATTAGCATTCTGTAGCATTACTGTGTGCTCTGTCCTCAGAGAGCTTATAAAAGCATCATGGTGAATAATTAGAATGCTCACACTGCATAAAGTAAGAGAGGAATAACTTTGGATCACTGCAAACTGTTTCATGTTTTGAACTCTCCAACAAAGCAGTTCTTTAGGCCCAAGAGCCAGAAGCTGGCGAAGGGCCTATTAGTATCACAAAGCGATGCTTCTAGTGGCCAAAAAATGAAATGGCGTGACGTGACTCGCCCGTAGTGACCAGGGACCCTCGCCATGACATAGCAATGCACCAGAGGTTTCCGAAAATGTATAGTTTGTCAGGCACAAAAAAGCAGAACACTGTTCTCGTATCAGAATATTATTCATTCTTTCTTCTTTCTTTCTTTTTTTGTTATTATTATTTTTTTCTTAACCAACTCGCCCATTTTCCACCCACTGAACAATGACGAAAAGCCCCCAAACGACTCAAAAATGCATTAGGGAATTCGAATGAGGGCAAAAAAAATTTGCACGTACAATCATGAAATTTGACACAGAAGTCTATCATGTCAAGACAAGGAAAAAATATTATTACACCAACACCGTGCGCTCCACTAGGGGGCAGCAATATTGGATTAAAGCTTTGTAAAAGCTTGCTAAGCTTTTACAAACTGCTCCGAGGGCGTTCACCCGAACGAGCTCAAATTTGGTCCACATTATCTCAAGACGTGGAACATCAAAAGTTATCCACATTTTTCACACACGTCTAACAGTCTCTGAGCAGAGAAGCAACAAAAATGCACACAATTTTGAAGAAGAGACAAATTGCTCCCATTTGCTCAAACAAACTCCGATTTCAATGAAATTTGAAACAGTTGTTAAACTCTCTGCCCTGAAGCTACTTTAGGTAAAAATTACTAATTTTGTGCATTAGCGCCCCCTATAGATTGTAACAACTTTTAATATGGAAGAAAATCATTTGTTCCCAAATAGTTGTTCAAAATTTTCTGAAATTTTGCACAAAATTCCATTTTGGCATCCTGATCTAAAAGTCAATGACACCCATGTCATAATTTTTATGGCGTTGCCATAGCCATGACATAAACTCTCCATGTTATTCCATTGGTAAAATCTACAAATGAACAGATTCATATAAGAAAACCTCAAATGGGCGCAATAGTGCTCCTAGGGAAATTGCATGGTAGTGCAAAAATTGACTTTGCCGTAGACATATAAAATTTGGTACACAGATTCATGACATGGTCAAACATCTGTCCTCACCAATAGGATGCCCAACAAAAACTTTGGCGTAGCCAAACCAAATTTGGTACACAGATGCATCATGAGAATAGGAACAAAAAAGTATATAACACGGTTGCTAGGCAACCAACAGGAAGTCGGCCATATTGGATTGATCGTGCGACCTGGCGCCGAAGGAGCAATTTCCTGTCCTCGTACTTGAACGAACTTGTCCTAGGGCGTTTGACCCAGACTCACCAGAATCATTCTGTATCATCTAGACAAGTGGGACATTAAAAGTTGTTAAAAGCTTTTTTAAAGGTCAACGTGGCAACAGTGCAAATTTGCAAAACTTCGATGCCTGATAATTTGCACAAACCATGGCCGATTTCACTCAAACTTTAATCGTTGGTGGACACCCCGTCTCTGAATAGATTTATATAATAAAATCTAAAATGGATGCAATAGCACCTCCTAGGGAGATTGTATGAAACAATAAAATTTTACTTTTTCGTTGACATACAAAACTTGGTACACACATTCGTGACCTGGTCTTGATGAAAAAAGTCAATCACGCCCACACTCATATAAAATTGTAGGGTTAGTTTAAGATTAAGGGTTGGATCTATGGTTAGGGTTACGACTAGGGTTAGGTTTAAGTTTAGGGTTATTAGCGGTAGTGCAGGGCATGGCATTTGGAGGGGTGCGGCATTCAGAAGGGTGTGGCGTTTGCAGGGCGAGCGTTTGTGGGGCGCGGTGTTTGCAGGGTGCGTTGTTTGCAGGCGGCGGTATAGGTGCATGCGAGGGCCGATCATCGCTGCTTGAGGCTATATTTTTGTATTATTTTGGCATTTTGCCCACCTTGTGTTTCACTGGATATGAAACTACTAAACTCTCCTGATTTTGTTGAATGGCGTGGTCCTGGTTTTGAACAGTTTGGACCTGGCCAGTCCTGTCAAGTATTCCTGAGGTGGAAACTGTGAGAATGGCTGCTTAAGCAAAAGAACTGAACTGTACAGTCCGGGCAGCTCAGAACCACAGGGCATTCTGCAGAGTAAAGCACAATAGATGACTTTTGGACAATACTTATAAGTCCTTATTTCAGGAGGCACAATTTTCATGTTGGAATAACCCCTTTGGTCTGAGGCTGCCTTCTGTCTTTGTACATTTGAGACAGACCAAAACAACCATTGGAGTTTCAATACAAAAACATGGTTCAGAAACATGGTGTCAGCGCCTTCATTATTTACATGCATCTGGGGATACTGTATGTCCCCAGGTAAAGCCACACGCTGGGATTTTTACTTTCAAGTTATTACCTCATATCATTCAAGTAAAACAGTCATGGATCAGCAGTCATATCAACTGTTTGGGAATGATCTGTGGGTCATCCAGAAACTACTCAAATGTAAAATAGTGTGGGACCAGAGTCACCCTGATGCCTATATCTATGTGTAGCATGCAGAAGAGCCCTCTGAGATAGGGACTTTTCCATTACACGGAAAAAAATCTTAAGGAGGAGTTATTTGACTATAGGGTGTTAACTGCTAACACCTATCATATTTAGATCACCAAGTTAACTTTATTGTGTTGAATATGCTATATTGGCTGAAAACATCATATTGACATGTTTTGTAAGTTTCAGTTTTGTTTTTGACACTCAAGTCTTCCCTCACTTCTGAGCGCAATCGCAACATGTGCATCCCACAAAAGAATCTTCTGCACATCATGTCAGGTTTGAGAAGCTGTAGTGTAATGTTTTGTTTCCTGCATTTTTTAAATATATATATTTGTGGAAAATTGCTTTGCAGCAGCATGACTTAAGATGTGGGCGGAACTGTGGCACAGGCCATCGTGTAAGTAACCGTAAAGAGGGTTTGAGTTGAGAGATCACTAGATTTCTCAAACATGACATCTAAAACCTCTTCAAGCCTGTTTTTATTAGAACTTGAAAACTCCAAAAATTAAATTTTGCTCAATACCCGTTCTTAAACAATGCCAAAAAAAAAAAGAAAATCATTGAATGAATGTTCATTCATACTTTTCTGTGACTCAGAAGATCTCCAATTAAAATTCGATTTAGTTTCCTTTTAGCACTAACATCAGTGGTTTACTCAAAATCTAATTTAGATATCCAAAATCCCCTCTGTAATTAAATTAACATTTTAAGTCTGGCTTTATTGGGTTTTAGTGTAGTGCAAATGTATGCCACTTCTGTTTGGAGCTTTTTATACACCTTATTTTCATATGATTAGAATGAGTTTTTCACCAACATTTTTTCTTGAATTTTTCTTTACTTTTGTTCCATTGTTTTACAATTGTTGTCTTTATGACTCATTTCAGGTTTTTATTTTATTTTATTTTTTACATATAATTGTAAAATCCACCAGAATGACATAATAAATTTTATTTATTTATTTATTTATTTATTTTTTAAATAACTAAGGCCAATGTGACCAGATTTAGACACATTTTACCATCAGCAGCACATCTATGAAATCCTACTATTGTGCTGTAGCTGCAACCATTGAAATGAGACTGAAAATATGAACATTAAAAAGGATAGCACCATGGTCCTGAAGTCTGAGGGGTCACTGGGGACAGTCCTGCTTGAGGTCTGGTCTGGGTCACTTCTTGAAACAGTGGTAGACCAATGATCGGGGGTTGAGGGCATAGCGTTCGGAGGCCAGGAGCTTGTTGAGGTACTGAGGCACAGCAGGGCGGGGCGCGGGGCAATGAGTGGGATGAGGGGCAGGGCTCAGAGCCATCACTTCTGCCATTCGCCGCTTCATCTCATCCACCTCTCTCTCCTGTCGGAACAACTTATCTGCAAACACGCAAAAGACTGTATTTTATCAAGATACACCACACAGAAACAGTTTGACATTCTATTGCCTCACATTTATAGATAGTGCTTCCTAGTGGACTTTGGTATATCTTTAGTTACAAGGCTATGCTTGGACTACAACCTCCCTCTATCTGTACTATATTTGTACAGGAGAGATGCACTGTGCCAGGTTGTAGCACCAGTGCTAATTTCCACTTGTCATCCTTGGGCTAAGTTAATTGATTGATTGTATTTAATTGACCTTAGCTGTCAGCTATTCTTCCTGGAGACCTATGTAGCATGTTTTGGGTTACATGTTGGGTTGTGATCTAATGATCAGCTGATGCCCCTCTGTATCGAAAGCCCGCACACAACTCTGTCTCTGATGCCCACCCAGCTCCTTCTGTTTGGAAAACTGTAATGTGACTGAGCGCTTTTCTCTCTCCTGAAATGCTTTTAAATCTAAGATGAAATCTTCAGTAATATGCACTTGCTTTTCCTAATCTGTGATCATGTCGTTTTACTACTGTTTGTATGTACTGTATATATGTATGTACTGTATATACAGTATGTACTGTATATATGTACTCTATGTATGTATTGTATGTACTGTATGTATGTATGTATGTATGTATGTACTGTATGTATGTATGTATGTATGTATGTATATGTATGTATGTATGTATGTATGTATGTATGTACTGTATGTATGTACTGTATGTATGTATGTATATATGTATGTAGGTACTGTACGTATGTATGTATGTACTGTATGTATGTATGTACTGTATGTATGTATGTACATATGTATGTATGTACATATGTATGTATATATGTATGTATGTACTGTATGTATGTATGTATGTATGTATGTATGTATGTGTATGTATGTACTGTATGTATGTATGTATGTACTGTATGTATGTATGTATGTATGTACATATGTATGTATGTACTGTATGTATGTACTGTATGTACTGTATGTATGTATGTACTGTATGTATGTATGTACTGTATATGTATGTACTGTATGTATGTATGTACTGTATGTATGTATGTACTGTATATATGTATGTACTGTATGTATGTATGTATGTATATATGTATGTAGGTACTGTAGGTATGTATGTATGTATGTACTGTATGTATGTATGTATGTATGTACTGTATGTATGTATGTATGTACTGTATGTATGTATGTATGTATGTATGTACTGTATGTATGTATGTATATGTATGTATGTATGTATGTACGTATGTATGTATGTATGTATGTATGTATGTACTGTATGTATGTATGTATGTATGTATGTATGTATGTATGTATGTATGTACATATGTATGTATGTACTGTATGTATGTATGTATGTACATATGTATGTATGTACTGTATGTATGAATGTATGTATATATGTATGTAGGTACTGTACGTATGTATGTATGTATGTACTGTATGTATGTATGTATGTATGTATGTATGTATGTACTGTATGTATGTATCATATATGTATGTAGGTACTGTACGTATGTACTGTACATATGTATGAATGTATGTATTGTATGTATGTATGTACATATGTATGTATGTACTGTATGTATGTATGTATATATGTATGTATGTACTGTATGTACTGTATGTGTTGCTGTAACTTTGTAAGTGGCCAGAACTTTCTTGAAGGTCTAGTCCTGATGTCTGTGGTGTTACCGTGGGCGATCTGTAGCTGTCTCCGTGCATCCCCCAGGGCAGAGAACAGGTCCAGTTTGATGCGTGTCTCTGCGCTCAGACTGAGCTCCAGCTGGTGGGCCTTGTCCTGGAGAGCGGAGAGCGAGGAGAGGAGCAGCTCTGTGCCCTGCTCCACAGCGCCACACTGGCCCAGAGACTGCACAACACCAGACACATTTAACACAATATGCACTAGTGATGAAAATACTCTACAAATGGGCCTCATTCATGAAACGTTCTTACGCACAAATTTGTTCTTAAGGCCTTCTTATGAACATTGTTGGCATTCACAAACTTTTTTCTTAACTCAGAATGTTCTTCTGGAAGAACAAATCCTACAAACAGTCAGGAGGACTTGTAAGAACAAAAATTCTACTGTTTTAGAATATTATTACTCTGATAATGCAACAAAAAATGTGAATTCCTCCATGATTGTAAGTTATATATTTTCTTAAATTATTTCCTAAAAACATATTACTGTGATCCAAAAACAACCTGTCAATAGACATTATTCATAAATCACAAAATTATAATTTTGCGCATTAATGAGGATATTTTATTGTTGACTGAGCTCTCTAAACAATTAGTATTACTCAAGTTTTAAATAATGAAAAGCAAAGATTGAACCAGCAAAAAAGGTATGGATAATTAAAAAGTAAAAAAAATAATGTAATGTGCATAAGTAGCCTATTTGGACATTAAATCTAGCCTTGTATGTTGCAGACCTACGTGCAGACGGTGACAAGGCGACCCAAAAAAAAATCTCTTCTGACACAGGGTCGCGACCCAGTCTTTGGGAAACACTAATGTAGTCCTTTGAGTCTAACAGACTTTCTCCAGGCTGCAGTGAGCCTCAGTCTGTCCCAGCTCCAGAGCCTCAATATGAGCCTCTGTTACAGCCCTGGGCCTGGTCACCACACTGGACTCAACACCCCCATAAGCCCCACCACCCCCCTCACCCCCGTGATCGGAGCACATTTTTATGTGCCTCTACCCCAGCCCCCTTCCCTCCCTATTTACCGTGCATCCATGATAAATACAATTAAAAATGCCACTTATTTCAAAAAAGTTTATGACCTAAATCTTCCTCCCTGAGTGTGTTCATGTGAGCTGGACATTTTAAATTGCCGTTGAAGCTATAAAACAGTTGTAGTCTGTAGACGTGCTCCACCTGACCTCCTCTACAAAACCTCATCCACCTGCCCTCCTCATTCACTCTCTCCTCATGCTTTCATGTGTCATAATGCCAAAACCATACTGGCAATATTTGCAAGTTCAGAGGGCGTTTCTAACCAAATACATATTCATTTTCTATGTAAATTAATTGTAAATGAGCATGGAGGTGTTTGTAGCTGAGCGTTGGTGAATTCAGCACAACTGTCACTTACGAAGGAATTCAGCTGTTTAAGAACACTTTGTGAATCGGGCGCAGAGTTCTCTCAGCATCTTTTTAAAGTGGAAATTACAAACATTTTTTAAGAAAGGATTCATGAATGAGGCCCATTGTTCTCAAAGTCATGGTCTAATGTTGTTCAAAAACATACCTGCATTAAAGAGGGGGTATTACACAATTACTAACACATAACTATGCAATGGATGGAGTGTGCAATGATGGGAATGGTGTAATGAGTAGAGTGTGCAATATTTTACTGTTTGACCCCCTATAACCCCAGCTCTTTGGGACAACGGATGAAAATTAGCCATAGTCTACAATCCGGTGTGTTTACATTCATGTTGTGTCATATTTGTCCATTAACATGCTCTGTCCCAATCAAATAAATAAATATAATTTTTAGATCACCATGTAACCTTTTATTGTTTTGAAAATGCTAAAATTGGTCAAACTCCAAGTCCCTTCTCCCTTTGCCCTCCTCAAGAAGTCACTCCACCTTCAGAGCACCATTCTGCTAATGAAACTAGCATATCATATTAGCTTTCATGCTGTAATGTATTGTTTTGTATCACGCTTTTGTATCTTTATGGAGAATTATCATGTGGGAGCATGGGTGATGTAGGCTTATGGGCTGAGCCTTGTACAGAATCATATTTCTAATCATAAGGACGGTTTGAATAGGCCGCAGGTGAAATCACTAAATTACTCAAACATGCATGCACCTAAAACATCTTCAGGCATGTTTTTGATGAGGGAATAGCATTATAATATGGTAGAAAGCTCCAAAAGATGATTTGGCATAACACTCCCTCTTTAAGTTATTTTACATGTTTCAACTATCTCCCTCTGCAGAGCTCAAAACACTGCACCTTCTTCCATCTTGTTACATCATCTTGTTATCTAGAATTAAAGTGAAGTGCCCCTCTGTATTTTTAAAGTTCATGTGACTACAATTACAACTTGACATGATTAAGCACATGTATAAAGTGTATTTGATAACACAATTATTCTTATACAGAGTAGAGAGGACAGGGAGGACGTGTGAGTCTGTCTCACCGGAGCACAGTGCAACGTGCTGATTCGGGCTCAGGGTTCAGCATGCGTCATGAACAACAGCACACACACATCTGCAAGACCACAAGAGACATTTCAGCACCGCAAACACAACACACACGTGCAAGACCACAAGAGATGTTCCAGCACCACAAACACAACACAAACACACATCTACAAGATACTGTGGACAGACACAAAGGCAAGACCACAGGATCTCAGGGCTCCGAGACTGTGAAACTACACACCACCAGAGAAGCTAGGAAAGAACCAGGAATAAACCGGCATCAGTCAGATCTAAATCATATCTAAAGTAGGCATGGGATGATATTCAAATTTGGTGTTTAATTATCATGACCAAATAATTGCAATGAACAAATATATATCACTACAACTATATAAGTTTTCAGAAATATTTGTGTGGATAGGATAGAAATCCATGCATATTTGGGAAATCTGTGCATATTTGTCTGTAGTTGAGCATAAAATAAATATTCATGAGCTCTCAAATTCTTGATGTCGTACATAAAATATATTGAGTGTATTTTATGCATCAGAATATGAATTGAAAAGTTACGATTATGCTTTCTTCAGTACGAATCCGAATTCACAGACGCAACTCAACTGTCAAAAATACATCATCACTTCACAGGCACCTTTATCTTAGTAGATAACATAGTGGTAGCCAGTGGGCTAACATCAGATGTAACGTTATCCCAGAGCAAATGTGCCATTTCCCATTCAGAGTAGGTATTTCTAGGCAATATCACACAGAAGCGTTTGGTTCCCGAATTCAATGTGACAAGACAAGTGTATTTTTACAATAAATTATAATTAACACCATCTGTTCTTCAGCTGTGTAGCTCGTTGTACAATTACTTAGTTTTTTTCCTCCACTTTTACCTGTCTGCAGCAGTGAACCATGTGCACTCTCGATCTATGTTTCTTCTTCTCATTAAATAATCCCTGTGAAGTATTTTTGACAGCAGAGTCGCATCTGTGAATTTGTATTTGTACTGAAGAAAGCATAATTGTAAATTTTCATTGTGTGTTTGTAATTCTTGATGTTGTAATGTTTCATTTCATATTCTGATGGATAAAATACACACAATACATTTTATGTACGACTGGACTCATTTGAGAGTTTACAAAAATGTATTTTATGCTCAACTATGCTGACAGTTTAAAAATGTTATGGATATGAATAATTATAAATATTGCACTTTGTTATAAATGAAAACAACAATGATCTAGAAGAGCTCATCATGGATAAGGATCTTTTTCTGCACATTCTGTTGATACAATGAAGATGATCTTGTTTGTGATTATCAAGATGATATAAAATGTCCCTGAATGATTATTGTCTGCTGTTTATATCACGATAAACAATATTATTGTTTATTGTTCTGTCCCGAGTCTAAACAAGGTCTAAACCAGGGTTAAACTAGGGCTACACTAGATCTGCATGAAGGTTCACCCAGAAAAGGATCAAAGGATGTATAAAACTGATCCACTTTGTTACTAAGCATCTATAATCCCTGATGCCCAGGAGAAGCCCTTCTGTGGGGCCAGTACCACAGTCTGAGAAACCCTGCATCAGTACAAGCACAGAAACACAGTGTTCTACAGACGGTCCCTCAGGCGTATGGGCCTACCTCCAGGTCCCTGTGCAGCTCTGACAGGTGTGTATCTGTGAGGTGGCCCTCTCTCTGCAGCTGTTGGTACTGCACCTCCAGCTCGCTCACTCTCCTCCTCAGCATGTGGATGTCAGGGTGCTCCTGTCTGCTGCAAGGACATAGCACTTACCACACCACTACTATGGCACATTTATGCTAACATTTTATTTCACTTTATAATTTAAAACCACAGTGTATAATTGTTTAGCCAGAAAATAGACAAAATAAAATGAAAGCATGGTTGAAAGTGAAAGTTACATCCTGTGAAAATCTTTTTTTGAAATAGTGATGCCAATAACTTTAGTTTCATTTTCAACAGTTCTGCACCTTTGCCTTCTGTTGGAAACAGTGGGTACTTCAAATGCACATCAAATGTGGCTCAAAATCGGTTTTACTGAAATGTGACGTAAACTGCGAAAGCTAAATAAAATAATCTGACCTAAGAATTGGTTACTCCATGGAAAACAATGTTGTTTAGATGTATGTGGAGAACATGTGTGTGGAGAACATGTGTGTGGAGAACATGTGTGTGGAGAACATGTGTGTGGAGAACATGTGTGTGGAGAACATGTATGTGGAGAACATGTATGTGGAGAACATGTGTGTGGAGAACATGTGTGTGGAGAACATGTATGTGTGGAGAACATGTGTGTGGAGAACATGTGTGTGGAGAACATGTGTGTGGAGAACATGTGTGTGGAGAACATGTATGTGTGGAGAACATGAGTGTGGAGAACATGTGTGTGGAGAACATGTATGTGGAGAACATGTATGTGGAGAACATGTGTGGAGAACATGTGTGTGGAGAACATGTGTGTGGAGAACATGTGTGGAGAAACATGTGTGTGAGAACATGTGTGGAGAACATGTGTGTGGAGAACATGTGTGTGGAGAACATGTGTGTGGAGAACATGTGTGTGGAGAACATGTGTGTGGAGAACATGTGTGTGGAGAACATGTATGTGGAGAACATGTGTGTGGAGAACATGTATGTGGAGAACATGTGTGTGGAGAACATGTGTGTGGAGAACATGTGTGTGGAGAACATGTGTGGAGAACATGTGTGTGGAGAACATGTGTGTGGAGAACATGTGTGTGGAGAACATGTGTGTGGAGAACGTGTGTGGAGAACATGTGGTTGGGTGGAGGACTTACGTGCTGCTCAGGCTTCTAGCTGCTGCCTCCTCTTGCATCTGGACGTGTAGCTCATTGAGCTGTCTCTCCACAGACAGTCTGGCCTCTGTCTCAGCTCTCGTCTTCTTCTCCAGGAGAGCACTGGTCTGTTTGTCCCTCTGCTTCGTCTTACCCAGACACAACAGCCTGCGGACATCACATATGTATGCTATTCTACATGACTGTTACACTATATGAAGTTTTCTGCATTCTCACTATGTGATCATACCGGCTTGTCAAAGCCTGATCCTGTCAGATCTCAGAAGCTAAGCAGGCCGGGATGGGAGACCGCTGGGAATTCCAGGTGCCACAGTGGGGCAAGACAGGCAAGACACTTCATCCACATTGCCTAGTATGAAAGTGGTGTGTGCGTGAGTAATGGTTGGAGGGGCCAATGGTGCAGATTGGCCGCCTCGCTTCTGTCAGTCTGCCCCAGGGCAGCTGTGGCTACAGTAGTAGTTTACCACCACTGAGTGTTGAGTGAATGAATAATGAACTGTAAAGCACTTTGGGTATCTTGAAAGGTGCTATATAAATGCAATGATGAATCATTTAATTAATTAATTAATCACTTGTGTGTGTTGTTTCATAACAGTAAAGCATAATGTGGCCTGATGTGAAGCAGTGTGGGTGTTCATTGTTTGAGCAGAAACACTTCCATGGTTCTTTCACATGTGGGTGGTGTGAAAGGAGGTGTTTATTCTCATTATGTAAAGTAATAACTGTATAAACAATGACATGATACTATGTTGTGCTGTGAGAAGCAGAGCAGAGGGAGTCCTTCTCTGTGAGATCCTCTCTTTGGTCACTCCAGATGCTTCTCAACTCTAGTGTGCACCGGGTATTTTTAGACCTGTGAAAGAGTGAGAGCCTAGTCTGCTCATGGAAGAGCAGAAGACCAGAGAGGAGCAGAGGAGGAGCAGAGGTCTAAGGGGGAACAGAGGAGCAGGGGAGGAGCAGGGGAGGAGCAGGGGAGGAGCAGGGGAGGAGCGGGGGAGGAGCGGGAGGAGCAGGGGAGGAGCAGGGGAGGAGCAGAGGAGGAGCAGAGGAGCAGAAGATGATAGTCTATCATCCAGATATTCTTTTCCAGCTTTGGTGCTCCCCATACTGGAATCCAGTGTAGGGCTCCAGCTACTGGCAGCAGAGGGAATTACCATGGGGAAAAAAATGTCTTAGCTAATAAACAACAAGCCCTGACATGTTAATATAAGAATGCAGTTGTAATAAATGCTTTCTAATAGGTTGAGCCCCAGTGGTGGCTGCTGGTTTAATTTTTTGGGGAGGCACCTAGGCCTAAATTATGAATATATATTATAAATATATAACCATATGAATATAGGTTTCACAGACTCTTTATGTTGGCCCCTGGTTCTTGGGTAGTGACCCCTGGTCTTATGTGACTTACTTGGTGTGCAGCAGCATGTTGGCCTCCCGGAGCAGGTCCAGCTCTGGGCGTAGGCTCCTCTCACTGTTGCTAAGGTTACACAGGTGGCTCTTTAGCTCCTGCTCCGTCTGTCGGCTGGACTGAAGCTCAGCCTTTAGCCTCCTCACATCCTGCTCCAGCCTGGAACATACAGAGACAGAGACCTTTAAATGGGTCATTCGAATGCTGCTCTAATTGTGGTATACACAGTCAAGTTCAGTTTGTGTCAGCTATGAGGAACAAGGCATGCTGGGTTAAAAAATAAAAAAATAAATCAGAATAAGAAAAAAATCTGAGTTCAAGTTTTATTTATATATTTATGCTTGCCTTCTTTCATTGAAGTCAGTGGTAAGTTTTTCAGTTTGTTTCAAAGACGTCATGTTGTGCTTGTGCCTGCTATATATTTGACACTACATGACATTTTAAACCTCAATATTGTTCCAAAATGATTTAATAAAAGAAACATGTTTGCTGACTACTGTGATAGATAGTTGCAGATCACACAAGCAGTAACTGCTTATTTTCATTTGTACCAAAACGACTACACAATACTGCCAAATCCTAGATATGTCACTGATTAAGAAAGTAAAACTGGAGAACAAAGTACAGAGAAGTGGGTGTATATCAGGGATAGTAAAATGGTGTCTTGAAAAAGAGCAATAAAAGATAGCTCAAACATGCACAAATGACTCCAAATACAAGAGAGTGTCAATGATGAGGGGAAACAACTATAACATGGTTTAAAGCAGGGGTTCTTAACCTTTTTGACAGAGGCCCAATTTTTCCAGTGCAAAGTGGCCTGAGGCCCATTAAATAATAACACTCTATAGCAAGGGTATTCAACTAAAATTTGAGGAGGTCCAGATAGAGAAAATCTCCTCAAGCAGACGTCCGGGACATCATAATGTCTAACTTGTGTTATGATTGTGATACAGAAGTAGTAGTTTTATCAGTGTTTGAATGTATGAACAACAGACGAATCAAAGAAAATACAAGTTAAAAACATTTCAACAAAATGTATTGTTAACACTGAAACCACAATAGGCCTACATTAGATATAGGGCTGCAGTTTAAAATTAATTAGAGAAAATAAATAAAATTGCTAAATTGTGCATCTTAAAACAAAGTGCCTAATTTCAGAAAAAAAGCAGCTTTAGTTTCCCTTTTTCTTTAGCTTTCACATCTCAACTTAACAGTCTCAGTACATTTTTCAACAGATCTCAAAACCGCTTTCCTCTGTATCTGCATTCAGAGCTGTGATCGTCTTGAATGCTCAGATTTGATTGGCTCAGTAGCGTCACGATTGGTTTGTATGTTCCTTGGTCCATTAATACAGTTGTGTAAAGTTTAGAGTCTAAACTAAATAGGCCCTATTCAGTTGAGCCAACTTATAAAATGAACTGCATTTAGCCTAGTGTGAGAAATACTACAGTTGGACTAGATCCAAATCCAGAGTCCTGAACCAGTGGGAACAGCTCTGGATCAGGCTGGGTTCAGATGAGCTGGAGCGGGGAGCGGTTCTTCCCCGGCAGAACCACGTTCACAGACGGACCGCTCAGAACAGCATATAATGAACCAAATGGGATTCACGCTTATGTCCGGATGCTTTGAACCACCTCGAAACCAGCCGTAGTCCTCGAACGTGGAGGACAGGAGCAGCCCCCCCGGACCTGTGGTCCACAGTGCATTCTCGCTTTCCCCACATGGAACATGGAATGGGGATGGGCACGGAACCGCTTGGACCCAGTCCACTGCACACTGGTTTTACTCGCCCCTGTCTGGAACCAGGACATGGAGGACGGAACCTCCGGACCCATCTGACCAATGCGCTCGGAGGACGGCACAAGACCAAGGACCGGACCCCCAGCCTCATCCCGAGGGGCTGTGAGCTACGGCGAGTGCTCCTCTTTAGTGCTGTTGGCTGCTGCTCTTACCTAAACTCAGAGCTTCTGCTCCGGGCTGATGTGCGGTGAGGTGCGTACAAAGTTCTACATGCTGCTGTTTTATGAGTTCATGGTGATAACTTGAGATGAGGATGGCCCGCGGTGTCGACACCTTTCACAATTGGAGGTCCCTCTGTCCCCCCAGGGAACAATGGTATGGCGTATATCGGGCTGACCACGGTCCGCCAGTTAGCAATCCTGATGCAGTCCCACTGCCCTTGCAACCCACTAGTGCAAAACTGAAAGTTTTTGCGTCCCTCTAGGTGGTGCCCTATGGTTAAGAATCACTGGTTTAAAGGACTATAGAATAATAGGTATATTTTAACAAATATAAAAAAAAACTGTAAGAGGGGAAAATGTAGAAAATCAGTCCAAATGCATGAATGAATGTTTTCCATCACTCAGTGATGGTATGTTTTTGACAGGTATGTCCAATGGTATGTCCTACAGTTATACAACATCATACTGTGATCATTCTTATTCGTGAAGGGTTTTCATTGACATGATTTTGCAGTTGAGGACATGGTGGATGCATTTATTTATGACATGCTTATAAGAAATGTACTGAGTGTTTCAGTTTGTTAACCCAAACCCTAGCTCTTACTTGTTCATCTGGTCCGCGTGTAAACTGTGAGCTACTGCAGTGTTGCGATTGGGGCTGATGGTTTTGGCTCTCTGTTTCTTGTCCACTCTTCCCCCTGGTGGTGACGGCGTGTGGTGACTGCTTCTGCGGGCTTTGGGAGAGGTGTTCTTGGACGCTTTGTGTCCTTTGCCCCCCTGCTCCTCCTGAGGTAGGCTCTCGGGGCAGTTCTCAGTGGGTCTGTGGAGAGCTTCACTGGATTTGGGTAGACAGGAGGAAATGGAAGAAGAAGATACACGGCGGGTTGAATCAGTTTTAACAGCTTCCTGTAGGGGGCGCTCTGTGCGTTCCTCTGAGCGGATCTGCAGACAGTCCACCACATGGGCCTGGTCACTGGACACCACTAAGCCGGTGGGACACTGGTACTGTCCACAGTCGGGCTTCCCCTTCCACCTGAAATCTGCACAGAACATGAATAACACTGAACAATCACAACCTGGACACAGCTGTTATGCTGCAGAGCACAGAAGAAACATAATGTATATTAGACAACCCAGAAGGGCCAAAAGTGTCCCTCCATTTGTGTCCCTTCTACAGGATCGGCTGACCCAACCTGACCAGTCCTCTTGTTAAACTGCACTGAGACCATTGACTGAGACACAAATGCCACTGAGAAGCAGTCTAAATGTTGCAGCAACATCAGTTCAAACTGTTTGCTGCAGCAAAATGTGAATTTCCCTCAGGATTAAAAAAGTCTAATAAAATCTCTCACTTTCTAAAGCTATTGGGAAACAATAATTTAACTTTTGTTTAATCTAAATTTGACAAAATAATAAAAACCACAATTCACGCACATGCCACTTTTATACTATGCAATGTGGGTGAAGTGTTTTACCTAAAGAAACAACGACACATCACATCAACCAGTAGGTCTTATTTAGAATAAAACATTAGAAGGCTTGATATACAGTAACAGTGTAGACAGGGAGTAGGGACTTACTGGAGGCGTCGGGGGGGCCTTTGGGGCAGAGCTGCAGGCCGGAGGTCAGGGTCAGGTGGAGGTTGGGGTCACTCTGCACAGTCCTCTGAACTCGCAGCTTAAACGCACTGGAGAAGTAACAGGTGGCATCGAAGCCCAAGTACACCACCGGGTACCCAATACTACACCAGCACAAACAGAGGAGGGGTAAAAAAAATGTATGATGTGGTATTATGCTGGAGGAAATTAAACAGAAAACACGTACTAACCCTGTAGTTAAGATCTGTACATGTTTGGAAATGCATAGGATTTTTGTATTAGTAGCTCCGATTTCAGTCTCAAATATGGACGGGTTTAAAATGACATATCGTAACCCGTAAGGTTTAACATTTGGTGATTATTTAGTTAATACTCACCCAAATTCAAACTAACTTAAATTTTTGAGAACATATTTATGAAAAAATCAATACTGAATTGATCAAAAATAATATGAAATGAACCTTTCCTAAATAATTTAATGGTCAAGAGTAGGAGTGTGCAAAAATATCAAAATATCGATATACTGTATCGTTTAATGTGATGATACAGTATCCACATCAGGGAATACTGTATCAATATATTGCCAAGAGTATTTTTTTTTATATTTTACTAAATTATTTTGTTACAGCTACAGTTTTGTTGCTTGTTTAGAGGAAGGAAACTTGCTTATGTGACACATTTGACATTTTCACTGTTTTGATGAGTAAAATGTTTGTGTTTCATATTAACTGCACAAGCAGTGGTTTGACAAAGACTTTTAGTATGACAGCCCTGATTTAGCCACTATTTTTAGTGAACTCTATCAAATTGATTTGAAATATAATATAACTGAAAGTGCACTGTATAAGATATGCATCGTATTGTGGCCTATGTATTGAGGTATTGGCAGCTTCGTAATGATACCCAGCCCTAGTCACAAGTCTTATCAGACATAGAGCAAGACCATGAAGTTAAATTACTTCACTATTTTGTGTTAAAACTTACATAGACCTATGTATTCATGAAAATACTTTTTGGTGGTATTATCAATATTAATATTGATACTTTGCAGTAACATCATGCTGGGAGTGTTATACATTTATCTCTATTGGTGGAATGTAACACAATGTACGCATTAGCAAGCACAGACAAAAAAAAAAAAAAGTTTAAGATCATCTAAAAATTCAAGAAAAAAAATATTAAAATAAAACTCAGATTAAAGTCTAATTTCAGTCCCAGAGCTTCAGAAAGCGCAGCACTATTAGCATCACACCCCCAGAGAATGTTGATGACATCAGCTGCAAAGTATCAATAGATAATGGAGCCTTTTTCTTAATATGTAAACAGGCTGGTTGTGGTAGAACAGTGAACATGCTTGTGTCCGTACCAGTGCGCGGCAAACAGGTGAGACAGGTTGGCGTGAGATGACTTGAGGTCTCGGAGACGCAGAGACGCCTCAGTGTAGAGCAGGAGCACCCACAGCCACAGGGAGGACACACACAGGCCCCTCTCTGCTCCAAAATAACACAACAACAACCACACAAGAGCTGTCACCATGGTAACACAGTCTCCTCTCTGCTCTAAAACAACACAACACTCAAAAGTCATCATCGTGCTAACACATGCCTCTCTCTGCTACAAAACGGCACAACAACAACCACACATGGGTAGTTGTCATGGTAACACTCACAGCCCCCTCTCTACTTAATAACCACACAGAAGTCAAGAGTTATCGTCATGGTAACACACAATCATTTCCAATCTATATCAAATGCTTCCTTTTGATTGATTACTACCACTAGTTGGGTGTCTCACCTGTGTGCCAGATGTAGTTGAACAAAACATAGGTGCTGGCCACAAAGAAGAGCCAGTGCAGAGGAACAAACACCAGGCAGAAGATGTCCAGAGTGAAGGCAGCGCAAATGAACGCGACACACAGGACCTTCAGGGACAGAACCAGAGATTAGGCTATAACCCATGTGTGCGTGACCTGCAGCAGACCCTTCGTCTAGGCAGTTTGAGGAGTGTAACGGCCCTCAGGAAAAAAAGTACAACAGGATTTAGACTAGACCCATTTGCTGACTCACCGGGCCATGACAGTGGAATGTGCTGTAGACACTGCAGAAGAAAAGCCAGCAGGGCCACAGATACTCCAGTCTGAAGTCCAGCAAGAAGTCCACCAGGAGGACCAGGCACCAGAGGAGCACCAGGCGCACCAGAGTGTAGGCACTGAAGGAGAGACAGCAAAATTAGGCTTACAACACAACACTTCTACACTCCTGTTTCATATGCTCTGGTCTAATGTGTGCTGCACAGAGGTACTTTACTTAAACATTAAAACAGTTCACAGGTGCACTGTGTAACTTTTCTGGTGGCGTGTGGACCTGCCACCAGCCTTTATCCATGGAGATGATATTACTTTACCTGTAATGTTCCACAGTAGAACATTCGTTTATCTCTTTGGTGATATCACAAAGCCAATTTACAGGTCAGATCTGTGGAGAGGCAAGTCTGCTCACAGTGTTGAGAAACATGCATGTTTTGTGTCCAAACTATGGCTTGTGGATTAAATACAGCCCTCAGACCCACTTTCTTTTAGCCTGATGAAAAACAACACAATATCTCAAGAATGTTTGAAAAAAGGAAGTCTATATCGTCATGACACTGGCTTCATGAGATTTTGTCCTGTTATGATTCTAATATTGGGTTTATTAGATTAATATGAACGTAAAGGGCTTGTGTCTGATTTTTAACCACAAGTGAAGAACAAGTTTCAGACTGAACAGTTAGCCGCATCCACTCAGTCCCTCTTCTCACGCTGATGCTGTACTATGACAGACACATAACCATGGAGCTATAATAAAAACTGGATAAGGCATTCCCCCTCTGTCCTGGCTCGAGGCCGACTAGTGGCCGCTCCAGGTACTGCAGCTCCCAGGAGCTTGGGCCCAGAAAGAATTTTCCCATAGAAGCACAATGCATTTTTGGGAATTCAAACTGTCCGTGCTCGGCTGACAGGGCATCCACAACTCTCCCAAACTTCAGGTTTTGTAGGATTTTTTTCTATTTTCACAACATAAACTAAATTTTTTTAAATCCTCAAAGCGTCTTTCTTTCAAAATCTTTGTAAGAGTTACCCTCTTTCTCCTCTGAGCCTGCGCTCACTCTGCTCTAGCAGCTCTTGCCCTGATTGGTTACCTGTGTCACACGGGTGGGATTCACTAGCCCCTATTGAGGAAGTAAATGCGGAAGTGAAAATTTTTCTGGTACAGCGCCATCTTGGGTTCATCTTTCAGATTTGATTATAGTTCTGTGCACATAACTGTCTGAGACAGTTACCACATGTGTACACCCTCTAACCTCTCGGACTGGAAAAAACTGTCTGCCCCTTACAGTTGCATCCTTTTGGTTCTCATACAACAAAAATATCCATTAAAAAAAATTCATAAAATACACACACACACACATTACTGGTTTATTACATATCACTGCTTTTTCAATGCACTGTATATTGCTGAACTGGGTAAAAAAGTCAGGGAGCCTACTAACCCTAATATTATTATTTGAAAAGAATTCCAATTTGATCTGATTCTGATTTCTATTTTGGCATGGATCTGTCCGTCAGTGAACTGCTCTGATGGACCAACAACAGTGTGGGCTCAAACAGGCTTATTATTATTGTTACTACACATACTCATCCCTTTAAGAATGCCCTGCTCCCTGTGTGCCCTGCCCCTTTAAGAGCACGGCCCTTTGTTCTATCCAGCGGCCGTGCACATCTCAGGCTCTTTGTTTGGTTTCCATGGCGATACCTCATCCGGAGACAGAGGGGGGCGCCGTGGCATCCCTGCACCAGCACTACTCAGGCTTTAACATGCTAGCTCACACAGAGGCTAGCTCACACAGACAGTAACACACACAGAGGCAAACACACACACACACGCACGCACACACATTGGAGGTTCAGGGCAGTTTCCAGTATGATGGAGAGAGACTGGGAGGACACAAAGAGCAGTTCCACATGGACAGAGGAGTCCTGGAACAGTAAGCCCATCCAAATCACTGCCTTCATATAAACTTCTTATGTAAGACTATTTATGTAGTTTGTCCTTTTTTACACATTTGTCCACAGTAAAAAATAGCTTCTTATTCTAACAATGTTAAATCCACATTTTGCTATTAATTTCAACCAGGCTGGTTTTGAACATTATATGAACAGGCCTGATGTTTATGTTGAACTGACAAATCAAAGTCATCATCAGTCACTGCCATTCATTGAGTTTCTAACAGGCCTAAGCTGCACTATATTTGGACTATTTAAGGATATTTCAGCTGTTTATTTATATGTTATCATATGTTATGATATGTCAATAGTTTTTTTGTTTGTTTTTTTGCCTACTAAGTACTAAGTTGTTTTACATTTGAGCCATTTTCAACCCAGCTTTAATTTGAGGATACAGGCCAATTGTCAGGGCTCACGTTGTGTTTTGTAGCAGCAGCAGAGACGCGCACAGAGCCTAACAAGTGGTTTCCATCGCCTCCATTAGGTTTGTGTTTATGTCACATATGTTACGCACGTTTGTTACGTTTGGGCCGTGCAGACACGAGTTTAGGACTGTGCATGGGTCTGGATGTGAAAAAAGGAAATAAAGCCTTTGCAGGTGAGCTAACACGAGGGACATTTCAGTGATACTGTAAACAATGAACACGCAGAGACGCACGGCATGTTTACGCGCTGTCTCTGCTGTAAAACAGCAGGATTCGCGCTCTACAGGGATCCTTCCGTGTGGAATTGTCTTCACTAAATGTGTGATCCAAGCATGGATGAGGTCATGCGCTCACAGAGCAGACAGGTAATGCTGGATGGACAACTGTACACAAAGACGCTGCGTAACAAAAGCGTGCTCTCCGCGGCGCTGTTACCTCTCCGATAATTTGTCGGTGAGTCGGAGTTTCTTCATCCTGCGCAGCCTGCTCGCGTCCATGGCGCGTTTCTTCATGGTATGGCTTGGTTTCCTTGGCGCTGTGTCCGTGTGGACTGCAGCGGGGCGGGGAGAGCGCTCAGCGGGCTCTCGGTGAGAATGGAGCGGAGATGCTGATGACGGACGGGGCTGGTAGTGTGTCTGTGGTGTGTCTACGCGTCTGGAACGCGGGGTGCTGATGGAGCCGCGCACGCGCATTGGAAGGCGCACCTCCAAGAGAAGCGCTGGGAAGCAGAGCGCGGGATGAACCGAGGGGTTCTGTTCTACCTAATGTCAGTAATCGTGCCGTGACTTTTATGGGAAGGCAAACAGGGCTGGGGTGGACTTCAGTATTTAGTCGAAAACAATTTAATAACGCCAATTTTTGTGCAAATTACATTGGAAATTAGTATATTTCTTTTCACTCACATTCATTTCATGTCTACTGAACCATTCTGGAATCAAATTAGAGAGACCTAGACCATATAGTTTATTAATATTTGAATATGGGACTGTATTTGACACCATCTTCATACAAACAGAGCTGTTTGTTTCTACTACACCTTATTTATGCAGCTGAGCCTTCAGGACTGTTGTTATGTATTGTTATTACAATGCATCAAGAAACCATATGACAGCTCTACACATGTGTAATGCACTGACACCACAACATGTACATTCATGAAGATCATGAAGAGATACTAACAACAACCGTGCACTGGTCAGACACGTGCACTTATAACACAACCTTATGTGTCACAAACACCCCCTTAAACACAGCCCTGCGTTACAACAGCTCATTATCACTCAGCTCTCACAGCACAGCTGCAAAACTACGTCTTTCCTGAAGAAACATCCAGTATTTCCTTGAAGTGGATCAGGTCCAGAGCACACCCATGTCCCTCCACACATGTGTAATAGTGCTGTTATTCCACTGACACTGTTGCTCCTTCGTAAAAACACAGATAAGACAGGCTCTTCTCCAGCCGCTCACTCCACTGCTCCAACTGGATCCTCCGTTTCACACAAACTAGCTCTGAAACTCGCCCACAGTTTTATTAAACGACTGTATTTCTAAATAACATCTAATCATTATAAATGCAAGACTTCAAACAATGACTTGTTGCTAAAAGTGAGTTATTTTTAGACACTTGTGTTGAAAGTTAGGCTGTGGATGTCATCTCCTGCTGCACATGCACGCACTAGAAACCACTGTGGTTCCCGTGGATGATGAGGTTTATTCAGCACTGTCAAATTGAGCTACCCACACTCCTGCGCATGCGTACGCGCCCAAACGCTGTTACAATTTAAATTACATCAATTTGAGCTCCGGAGGCACAGGTGGGACAAATTTCCCTCCCTGGATTGTGTGTATAAATTTTTGAAATAAATGTTTGTTATAATGTTTTTTCTGTTGTCCGTTTGTCTGTCCTCATCCATCATGACTACGAGACAAGTCCATTGTTATTGGCACTAAATAAATAAAATTGAACTGAATGGACTTGTCCCCTTTTCAATGTCCCCAGTTCCACAAAGGTGAGTTGTGCACCCTCTACTAGAGCATTATTTGGGAGAAGATATAGTCAGGATTTACTTCCTCTACCCATATTCATCTAAATGAGTGAATAATGGTGATTCTGCAGTATATGGAATTACCTAGCAAAGTATATAAAAAATAAATAAATAAAAAAAAATAAAAATCCTGTGGTTCTGTTATGGTGGACCTGTAATGGACCAGTAGGGGGCAGTAAAGGTTAACTCCTCCTGAGACTGACCCCGCTCTTCCCTACAATGAGTGCACCTGATTGACTTTTCTGTGCTGTGGAGTCAAGGTGAGGTGGTGAGGCTTTCATGTTGCAAACTCAGTCATACAGCAGACACAGCAGGGCATACAAAACCAAGTGTTTATGAGTAATAGTCATATTTTGGTAAAACTTTATAATAACTACACCTTATTTAGCCTTAATAAAGCATGAACAAAGACTTAATAATGATTCATGCTTAGTAACTTAATTACTACCTGAATTAGCACTTAACTTGCACTTAATTCGCCTGTGCTGTAAATAGTAACTCAATACTTCTTAATTACTCATAGTGTTGAGGAGTAACAGATTACATGTACCAGAGTTACGTAATCAGAGTACAAATTATGAGTAACTGTATTCGGTTACAGTTACTGTTTGAATGAGTGGTAATTAGATTACAATTACTTGGTTGAAATAAATGGATTACACAGAGGTATTTTCCTGTTTTATATCCTTTTGTCGGTAATTCCACTCATTGCTGGACACTAAACCAGGTCTAAACCAGGTCTAAACTAGGACTAAACCAGGACTAAAACCAGGTCTAAACCAGGTCTAAACCAGGTCTAAAACCAGGTCTAAAACCAGGTCTAAAACCAGGACTAAAACCAGGACTAAAACCAGGTCTAAAACCAGTTCTAAACTAGAACTAAATCAGGACTAAACCAGGTCTAAACTAGAACTAAACCAGGACTAAAACCAGGTCTAAACCAGGACTAAAACCAGGTCTAAAACCAGGTCTAAAACCAGGTCTAAACCAGGACTAAAACCAGGTCTAAAACCAGGTCTAAACCAGGACTAAACCAGGTTTAAACCAGGACTAAAACCAGGTCTAAAACCAGGTCTAAAACAGGTCTAAACTATGTCTCAAACAGGATTTAACAGGACTAAATCCTGCTGCGTGGACGTGTCTCTTCTTCTTCTATCAATAATATTTTTAATTTGGTTCAGTAAAGTCTTGTCTTTTTATTTTCTTTTAGCAGACAAAATATCTTATGTTATGATTTCCTCGTCTTTGCTGCTCAAGTAATCCAAAGTATTCAGATTACATTACTCACCTTAAGTAATTAATGGATTACTTTACAAACTACATTTTGGGGTATGTAATCTGTAATCTGTAGGGGAATACATTTTAAAAGTCACCTTCCCAACACTGATTACTCATGAACTAACCATTTGTATATTTACAAATGTATATTTAAGTACACATTTGAGCATTTATTAATGATTAATAAGCTATGAGAGAATGATTTGCTAATAATACAATGCAATGATCATTCAGGCAGCTGTTATCTGTTAGTTAAGTCTTTCTGAGAGCTTTTCTAAAGTGAAGACTAATTATGTTTATTAAGCATTTGTTAAGGTTGGTCAAATTCCAGAGAAACAATAATGCATTACTAGTAAATCATTCTCTCATGGCTTACTAATCATTAATAAATGCTCAAATTTGGACTTAAATATACATTTACAAATGCACACACAAATGGTTAGTTCGTGAGTAATTAAGTAAGAAATACTTATGAGTAACTATTTACAGCACAGGTGAATTAAGTGCAAGTTAAGTGCTAATTCAGGTACTAATTAAGTAGTTACTAAGCATGAATCATTATTAATTAAGTCTTTGTTCATGCTTTATTAAGGCTAAATAAGGTGAAGTTATTATAAAGTGTTACCCATATTTTTTGTCAAAACAAAAGTAGTATTGTTAGTATTATTATATAGATAACACATTTTTTGGGGGATGGTTTATGTGTATTTAGTTTTCTTTTGTCTGTTCTGTTCTTAGTACATAGTTAATTAGTTAGATTTATATGTAGTTAGATTAGTTAAGTAATTGTAGTTAGATGCAGGCTAATCTTGAATATGGGTTTCTTTTTGTTTTGTTTATTCTGTGTTTGTCAATTTGTGTGTCAGTGTTTGTGCTCCTCTCCTCTCTCGTCCTGCTCTGTCATTTATATCAGTGCTTCTTAAACAATAGAGACAAAGAGGGGTTTAAAGATTATTCACCTTAATATAGAATTATCTAAAAAAATATCTTCTTAGAACATGTTTCTCACTATAAGCCTAATGTGATTACAATCTCAGAAACCTGGCTACATAACAGTATTTCAGATGATGAAGTAAAAATGAATGGTTTTGTTTTATATCAAGTAGATCAAGGTTCCATTCTATTCCATTCCATTTTTTTCCGTTTATCCGGGGCTGGGTCGCGGAGGCAGCAGTCTAAGCAGGGACTCCAGACTTCCCTTTCCATGCACACTTCCTCCAGCTCTTCTGGGGGGATCCCGAGACGTTCCCAGTCCAGCCCAGAGACATAGTCCCTCCAGCGTGTCCTGGGTCTTCCCCGGGGCCTCCTCCCGCTGGGACATGCCCGGAACACCTCCCGAGGGAGGCGCCCAGGAGCCATCCGGAACAGATGCCTGAGCCACCTCAACTGGCTCCTCTCGACGTGGAGGAGCAGCGGCTCTACTCCGAGCTCCTCCCGTGTGACTGAGCTCCTCACTCTATCTCCAAAGGAGCGCCCAGACACCCTGCGGAGGAAACTCATTTCGAACGCTTGTATCTGTGATCTCGTCCTTTTACCCAGAGCTCATGACCAGAGATGAGGGTGGGAAAGTAGACTGACCAGTAAATCGAGAGCTTCGCCTTTAGGCTCAGCTCCCTCTTCACCACAACAGTCCGATACAGTGACTGCATCACTGCACCGATCCGCCTGTCAATCTCATGCTCCGTCCTCCCCTCCTCACTCGTGAACAAAACCCCGAGATACTTGAACTCCTCCACTTGAGGCAAGGACTCTCCACCCACCTGGAGAGGGCAAGCCACCTTTTTACTGGTCAAGAACCATGGCCTCGGATTTGGAGGAGCTGCTCTTCATCCCAGCCGCTTCACACTTGGTTGCAAACCGCCACAGTGCATGTTGTAGGTCCTGGTTCGATGAAGCCAACAGGACAACATCATCAAGGTGCCACACTTCTAAAATCTGTGCGTATCTTTCCAACTGTTGAGCCAGTTCATTTTGAGTGCCTATCTGTTGACATACATTTTCACACTAATAAACAATTAACAATTACAAATATTTATAGACCACCATCTGTTCCTGTAGACTCTATGAAATGTATTCTCTCTACACAGCTCACTCAAAAACCATAATGAAATGAATGTATTGGGTTCAATAGTAACTAGCTCCACAGTTCCTCCTCTATTGAAAGGAATTTAGTGAACAGTGTTAATTTTACT